GGGGGGGGGGGGGGGGGGGGCTTGGAGCGAAGGCACGGCTTTGGGTCGTCGAGTGTCTGTGGTGGGAGAGACTTGTGCCTGAGAAGTAACAGATGGGCTCTTGACTCACATGGCGCGCAGTGCCGTTGCTGGCAGGGCAAAGCAACGTTGGGTGAGCCAAAGAGTGGAGTTTGCATTCGTGTCGGAGAGAAATGTATTGACTTTGGAATATTGTGTCTCACCAACTGTTAACGGTTCTGACCTCGCGACTTGTGCAAGGCGCCCAAAAGCCTTGCAGAAAACCTCTGAGACCAGACATGGTGGGCCAAGTAGAATCTGAGGCAGCGTGGGGAAACGTGCCGGCCGGTCCGCAAGCTGGGGCAGCCTGTCTTGAGAACTCACATGCAGGTCCCAGCCTTCAGGAGGGAGTTTCTGCCTAATCCTGCTGCATTGCTCTGCAGTGTGGCAAAGGTCTGCAGCGCAGGCTCTGCAGTCAAAGGTGGTCTGGGTGTTTTGGATCTAGGATGTCCGATGTTGTCTGCACATGCTCTTGGTACTGATACGTCTTGGCCTGTCGTCTCTTGAATTCGAGGTCCCGCTAACCAAAGCGCTCCGTGGCCTTAACTTGGGTTCTGCCGCACTCCTGAGTCGCTTTGCGACAGGCCTTTCTTGAATAAAGGCCAAAGGTTTCTTCAATTTTTGTGTCTTAGCATTCTGGATTCAGATGTGCAGGTAGTCAACCTTCGGCCAGAAACAGTGTGGGACTTGAGGCGGGTTCAACAAGGCCCTCTATCAATGACGGGCTTTCTCTTGCACACAAATTCGCTGTTCGAATTGGGCTTTAGGACAATCTTGATAGGACTTTTGCACGAGCAGTGCGAAGAGCAGCAGCAGGCGGCGCAATGTGCAGCAAACAACATGGGACAGCTGAGGGAACAAAGGCTGAGCTCTGCGAATTGCACAGACATCCAGAACAGGCCTGCTGCCCCTGCACATCTTCTGAAAGTGCATGCAGGTAGTGATGCTTGCCAGATGGTGAGACAGTAGCCCAATGCATCTCAGCAATCCGCTTGCACGTGCAGGTCTTGCCGAGCATGTACAGATTGCTCGCTCCCCGCACGTTGGGATGCACTCCTCCTCGCCCGCTGGAGAACGAAAAGAACTGCATGGGGCCTTCACAGCGTGAGCCAACCGGCAGAAGATTGCAAACATGACCGGAAGTTACGACGAAGCCGCACGAGCCATACTCAGACCTTTGTTCCCCCACTTGTCGCAGTTAATTGGAGTTTCCGCTTGTTTCGGGTAGCTCGGCTTCTTGGAGGGCTTTTGCAGAGCCGTAGCCTTGCAAAGCATGAACACGCCATGACCGGCCATGGGCGTCAGTGCGCTGCTGGGCTTCGCCTGGGGCCGCATCGTGAGCGAAGCAAGCGATACTGTGATTCAGGCTTGGCAGGAAGCCTTGGAGACCTGTGCGTCGGAAATCTGTTCAGCAAACCGGGTGGAGGACCGCCTTGGATGCGGAATCCATTGTCCCCGGCATGCTAACTATTAAGTATTTCTTGAGACCATTCGAGCAACCCTCAAACGAACAAGCCGAGTCAGTTCAGGAAGACGATGTGGCAGCAAGGCATTGTGATCAGATACCAGTTGCTTCCAAATTCGGCGGTGCCGCAGCTGTCATACAGAGAGTGACACGAAGCTGGACATTGTTGCCAGATCTTGAGAAACTCGATCCAATCCATGCTACAGAACTTCCAGCATGCCAGCATTGGTCGATAAAGGTGACACTCTTGAAGTTTGTCCCTCTACCAGGGTTTCTATTGCAGCTGCAGCTGGAGTTAGTGTGCAAGACTTCACGTCACAGTGCTGGACTAGAGCTTTTGCTGCATCAGGTGTTCTTGCATGCAAGCCTGCAGCAAAAAGGTGCTGGTCGCACGACTATGTTCGGACGCAAAATTTGGTGCGCCGCGATGCTGGGCACAGGCTCAGCAGTGCAGGAAGCCCTCGACAAAGAGCCTGCTTTTGTAGTCTCCTTCGAGGAATCACGGTGGACCTTTATGCTGGACTTGGAGACACGGCGGCTCTGCTTGCTGACGGCCTGCATCGGCGACCGAGCAGTGCCTCAGACCGTCGCCTGGTGACTTTCGAGTTAAATTTAGACAGGCCGGAACATGTGGGAACTCATGCTGCACAACAGACACATGGACCGTCTGCACAGCGCACAGGCTGCTGACCGTGAGGAGCAGGCTTGCACAGAGTGCAGTCGCTGTGCACACCTTGGATCTCCGCAGCCAACACCACTGGCAGCGAGAGATGCGCCAAGGGGATTGGAAGCCAGTAACCGCGTTTCTTGTCCCTGGAAGCACTTCGAGTTACCTGCGGCCAGTATGCCAATCCGTGGAGGCCGCAAAGTAGGCGAGTAGATGAAAATGCACTGGGCAGTGCAGAATTGAAGAGACTGCGTCACCTGTTCAGGATTTGGGATTGGTTCTTCTAGATCCTGATGTGGAGATGGGGTATAAGGACTGCTTGCATAAACCACATGCTCTTTCTCCGAAGCCTTTGTGGTCGACTTAAAACGCTTGAGCTTCAAGCCGCTCAGCAGACAGGAGTTCGCAGACGACTGGCGAGTGCAATGTGTCAGCAAGAATGACACATACGGAATTATGGTAGCCGGGAGCGTGGGCGTCAACGAAGCGATCACCACTCCGAGTGTTTGTTTTAATTAGACGGTCTGTTCGGCAGTATATGTACAGGATGCAGAGGTGTGCGTACAAATGCATGTATACTGTATACGTGAGACATATGAGACACAGACAGGCCGTGAGTTGTTTCCTTGTGCTTGCTTTGCTGATTGTCGCGGGATGTTTCACGGACATGCCCCGGTCTTGGGCGTACTGCAGCTCTCTCTGCCTTGTGGATCACAGGCTGGAAGCCCAACGTCCCCGAATGGTCGCCATCTACAACACTAATCTACCAGGAGGCCAGGGGCCAAAGGCGGTTTGCCAAACCTCCCGTAGCGCTTTACACGTTCAACGTTCCTTAGTGCAAGCATTTGCTGGTGCGTGCGCGCAATTTCTTCGCGGAGGCGCCGGCTGGGTTCTCAACCGCCTGCTCGCGCTGGGTGAGTATGTGGAGGTTGCTCAAGGTGGCCTTTCAAGCACTGCTGCACTCTTCACGCGTCCGCCCAGTGCTTTCATGACTTCCAGTGCGAAGGATTTCCTGTTCACTCCAAGCAGAGCCGAGGTTTTAACGACGGGGGTGCCGGTGAACAGGATGCACCTGGCAAAAATTCATGGGCACGTGCGGCCTGTAGGGGCTTGCGCCGGCCGAGCAGTGACGCATCACTTAAACTCCGGAGAGCAGCTCAGGTTTTCCACCAGCTACGAGCTTGGTCGCTTTTGCTACATGTGCCGGGGGCCGTTCTGCCTGCCTGGAAACCTGGCCGCTTGGTCGGAGTGAGGATAGTGAGGCCTTGAGGCCACCGTCTGACATTATGGATACATGACATCCTGCTTGCGGACTGACAAGATTTTTGGTACCACGGTATTTCGCAGGGCAGCTTGTCAAAACCAGAGATGAGGCGAGAGAAGGTCACCGTCCACATTGCAGCAGAAGCAGCACAAGATCGTGCAGCCGGTGCTTCTTAAGCGAAGGCAGCAGGGTGCCTGCGGAATCCCCGGCTTGGGAGGCCCGACCTTTTGATGAAGATACAGTTCAGATGACTGGCCTCGAAGCCAAGGACTCCTCGGCAGAGAGAAGAGGGAGACTTAGAGGCTTGAGGCTTAGGCACTATACCATACTCTACTATTCTGACTATACTATGCTAGTGCATCGTCTCCCTTTGTGGTTGCTGCTAGAAGGACCGAACCATTGCAAAATCTGACAGGAAACCTGTCGAGATAACACACGGGCCAGCCCAAATACTTCGCCCTTGGCTGACCCGCCCCTCATTCCAAACGATGCATTTTGGCGAATGTCAGCTGTGAATGACCCTGATTCAGAACTTTTTATGTGTCCTCTCTGATCTCAGCTGTCGATCCGGAACTTTTATTGAAGTTCTCTCGTATATGGTGGTGTAGCCCTCCCTCCAGGCACAGCATTGATGATCAGCTAGGCAGGTGAGAGGCGCATTCGCCTGTGTTGGCGCTGCAAGCTTGACAAGGCTTTAGTTCAACGCTCCTCGGTGTGTTGCTAAGCACGTTAATGGAAATCTGCTTTAGGATGACAATGTCCGCCCTTTGAATGCAGGAGTGGATTCAAGAGCAGTTGGAAAGGGGCTACGAATGGGGAAACACCACATTTCGCGCAGCCCCTTGTCCATTCCATGTTTGCCAGCCAGCTTGTCCATAAAGTCTACTCATGCTTGCAGACCTAGCATGTCAGCAGACACTTGAGAGACTGGCCCTCACAGCATATGGTATAGTTAATGTACTATACTCTACTATCTGGTCCCTCGGTGTCTAAGGTCCGGGGTGGCGAGGTGCTCCGCATCCATCGCGGGATTGGAGAAATAGTGCCGGTGGAGGTCCAGCGCCCGAAACTTCGGATTGCAAGAACCCACTGAAAGTTGATACTCGTATTGGCATGGTGACTGATGGTAGCTACACTCAGCTACACCATCTCAGGCCGTGAAAGCCATGTTCAACCTTTGCTGCATGTCTCGATCCGAAGATAAGGACAGATGAGCTGCTCGCGCCACCCACGCCACAAACCAATGCTCACCACTGCTTTGCAGAGGCCGACCCGTGTCTCAGCTCAAGTGCTGCAGCCATGCAGACCACTTTCTGGTCCGACCTGGTACCTCCCTGCGGAGAGATCTCATGGCTTCACTTGCTGTGAGGCTGGTCGCGGCGCGCCAGCTCCGCACGCCCTGCTTCCTGAACTGCTCCCCAAATGCACATACCTCACCCAGAGCTTCGAATTGACACAAGTGTCTTTACCGCGCAAGGTGAGGGCCCAGACTTCGATGCTTCATGGAACCACTTCCGAAAGCAGGTGCTCCGAATCCAGAGAGCGAGTTGCAGGCCCTCGTGGGCATGTCGGTGTAGGCGACATAGCGTCCGAATCCGAAGGTGCTCTTGCAGGCCGCCGGTAACTTCCCACTGGACCCGGACATGGTGGCGGAGGCATTGACGACATTGGATACCACAGTAAAACTGTCAACTGGAAGCCTACAAATGCTCCTGGGTCCTAACGAACTCCATCTCAAAAGAGTGTTTGGAGGCGACTGCCATCAGCCACCACATCGTCACAAACGATGAGATCCTGATTCGTGGGAGGTCTCTCTTCATGGCCCGTTTACGACATGAGCGCCTCGCCCTCATCTTTAGGGTTAAGGCTTTTTTGGCAGAATGCGGGATTCTAAGAGCTGCGACACGTGAGAGCCAGGTACACCCATGATGGCCACTTAGAGGGATTTTGCCTCTTCGGCCTCACTTCGGCGGCTTTCCTCCGAGCTCGGCAGATGTTGGACATGGAGCCGCAGAAGTTCGAAGCACATGGTAAGACCATCTTTGCACCAATAGTCGGCCTCAATGACATGGACACTGCCCCGCGGCATGCACTTGGCCTTCCGTTCCGCCTGGACATGTAAGAGCGAGAGGTGAGCGTGCAACTGGCATAATCCGCGTGCACCTGAAGCCCTGGCCAGGCGTATACGCTGGTCAGCGACTCCAACAGCAAAGGTGGCGTCGAGTTTAGCTTCCTTGAGAACACGGGCTGGGCGGTGTCCCTGGAAGACGTCATCATAAATCTGGAAACCCAGAGCCCTATCTGCAAGCAGCAAGGCGGGCGGCTGACTCCTGTAAAACTCGTACACCCCAGGAAGGCGGACTTGGGGCAGCCATTCCGGCAGCACCGATTTCCCATGCCGGTGGCTGAGGGTTCAGAAATGTTCAGAGCAACAACGCTTCAGTCGTATTTTGACAGAACCGCATCAGCTCGACTCTTGCTCGAATTTGCCTGCGGTTGTAATCGACAGCAATACATGCCTTCGCTATGAAACGTGTCTCGCTCGCTTGCCCGTAGCCGTCGAGTCTAGCGGGTTCATTCTCGAAAATCCGCTTTAACACCTTGATACAGTGTCATTCTTTCGCTTTGCGGATCCATTCAGAATAATCATACTACATAGTAGTTTGCAGAAGCCGTTTGTTTTTCGAGGGTCCTCGGCCCATGCCACCAAGTTATTTGGCATGGCAACCCACGCAGAGTTCTGCGCGCGAAAGCGCCAGATCCTCACTTCGTTGGACAAGAGTCCTAAAGGTTCTATTGATGCGCCCATCGCGGATTTCATCCATTGGCTGAACCAGCAGCCAGCTCTTGTGACAACATCATCTTGCAGTGGCCGCATCGCGATTTTCCATGGCTCTGCAGATGCATCCAACTCGAAAGGTGGAGAATGGCTGTTGGCCAGCCATGAGACCGTATCGGACAGTACGAGATCATGGCAGGAGCTTCGTGAAGCACTCGACACACGACAGGATGCCGCAGGTGCGGGCACACTTACCTCGCTGCTGCTGGAACCGTTTGTTCTTCATGCAGAGTGTGCTGATGCGGCTACAGCTCAGCACATCCTCGGGGTTGCGAGAGATGCAGGCTTCCGCGAGAGTGGAGTGAGCTTGGGAAGGAAGCGTGTCATGGTGCAAATCCGCACCGTGGCCACCCGCCTGGAAGTGCCACTAGCGATGAATGGAACTCTTCTTGTGGACGGCAACTACTTCCAGACCTTAGTCAGAATCGCGAACAGTCGCTTAGACGAGAATGCCGCTCGGGTGGCACGCTTGTGGAGGAACTTGCGGGAGGCTTTGGTGGCGAAGGGCGAAGGCATCGAAGGCATGGAGCACGGACAGCCATGGATCTTTGTTTGTCCACAGGAATGCGCCCGCTCCGTCAAGTTGGCATTAGAAGCCCGAGGCTGGTTGGACGATTCTCGCAAAATGCAGAGTTATGGAGCGGAAGCGGCGGAAGCGGAAGCCACTCCCTCCGTCGCAATCCCGTTGACTGAGGAGGCGGTCGAAGACTTGCAGGCCATCTCCGAGGCCGAAGCAGAAGAGGTGGATGTCAGCCGTGGCGGGACCACTGTGCCGAACGACGTTCCTCTTGCTGAGACGGAGATGGCAGAAGCACTGCCCGAAACTGACTTGGGTCCGGCAGGAGCTGTGCCTAAGAAGAAGCGCCCTCCAACAGTCGCCGCCAACTTGAACGAGCTGTGGAGGTTGCGGCGTGGAGAGCTGCGCATTATTCAGAGCTCTGTTCTACCGAGAAAGACCAAACCTTCTGGAAGCACGAGCGCGGTCCCTGCAGCCACAGAGCAGGCAAAGATAGCGGAAGCTGTCCAGGGCCTTTTCGAGACTGTAGGCCCGCATGCGAACACTGCATCTTTTGAGGGATTGTTCAAGGATGCTCAGAGCCTGCCTGCACTACAATGGCGCGGGGACGTTGCTCTCCTCCCACGTGGCAGTTTTGCAGGTGCGGAATGGGAGGCTTTTGAGCAAAAGACGCAAGCAGTGAGCGGTGGTTTGTGGGAGTGCATCAGGAAAGCTGTGAATGCCCGGCTCCTGTGTCGGCAGCACGAAATTCGGGTGGATGACGTGGTCCGGGGAGGTAATGTGCAGGTACTGGCTGGCACCGGGAGTGGCTGGGTAGTGGTACCCGGACCGAAAGGTGTGCGGTATTCGTTTGACATCACAAAGTGTATGTTTTCTGAGGGGAACGCTGCAGAAAAAGACCGCGTGGCATCTTGGCCAGTCGAGGGGCAGACGGCTCTAGACATGTATGCGGGAATTGGTTTCTGGACTCTGCCACTTCTTGTGGCCGGGGCGGCGAAGGTTGTCGCGTGCGAGTGGAATCCGGATGCCCTTGCTGGTCTTCGAGAGGGTTTGCACTTGCTTGGCGACCTGGGAGCTCGCTGCAAGGTCCTACCAGGAGACAACCGGCGACAAGAAGTCATCGACGAGACTCGCGACACATGCCACCGTGTCATTCTGGGCTTGATTCCCTACAGCCGCGACGGCTTTCCCGTTGCCGTAAACGCGCTGCGCCCCGCTGGTGGCACGCTGCACGTGCATTGGAATGCTGCCGTGGACGCAGAGGCGGCCACGGCAGAGCTGGTGGCCAAAGAGGTGCAAGAATTGTTACAGAAAATACGAGGGCCAGGATGGCAAGCTGCAGTCACCGGCATTCAGCGCATCAAATCGTTTGCACCCCGTGTAAGACATTTGCGGATCGACGTGGAGTGCAAGCCATGAAAAGCTTTTGACCTATGTTAAAGCATGCTGGCCCCCTGGTGCGACTTCTAAGCTGTCGCAGGATCTGCGAACATGCGCCAAATACTGGCAGCAGAACCACCAGCTGTTGCATGAAGGGTTTTACTGTGCCTTTGCCAAGGAGCCTCTCTCATCGGCGCGAACCTGTCAGCGTCCAAGGCCTTTGCAGAGCCAGCCTGAGCCGGTCAAGCAAACATTCAGTCTTGTGACATGTGCTTTGTACAGCTGTGACGCACCTTTGACAGGCCGCCGGGAGTTGAATCACTCCGACTTTGCGCAGCTCCTCTTCCCAAAAGCTGCGCCAGTGCGGCTGTGCGGAATAGGCTCCTTTGTGTACTTTTATCGGCTACCAACTGTGACCTGCGGCTTTGCTGCAGTACTGGCAGGGGACCATCTAACGGCTACCTTTGATGCCGTTTTGATGGTCCAGAGAAGTCTCGAACTTGTTCTGGGGGACCTCCAGATCCAGCGTCATCTGGACTGCAATGTCGGCATGTCCCTGTTAGTTTGAGTGGCGAATCTATCGCCAGAAGTGGGCTGAGCTTGTCCAAGGAGATTTTCTTGGTCGCTTCTGCCCAAAGCACACTGGGCAAGGCCAGCAGCTGTTCGTGTTGAAAAGCACAACCTCAGGTTTTTCCATGTTTTTTTCCGACACATGGCGGGCGTTGTATTGTTTCGTGGAGATTGTGAGGACGGCATGATGCGATGATGTGAAATGGTGCTGCGCGTTTGGCGCGTGACGCTTCGTCCTAGGAGTTGCAACCCTCTCGACCAGTGTGTTCGGTCAAGCGGAGTGGCGCTGTGCACCCTCTCGTGGTTGCCGTCATGTCTGCATCCTCCCATATGCGCAATCCATTGTAAATTCACGTCACGGGAAATGACGTCTCGGTGCTGTCGGCGTGTCGGAGTGAAGCGCGTGTAGTGCCACATTGATTTTGGCTTTGCAATGCTTGAGTCCCGCCAATACATGCGTGGGAAGAATGCATGGTCATGTCTCTCAATGCCGCCTGTCGGGGGAAACATGGGAAACATCCCGCCAGCACATGACAGGAAGGATTTTGGTCGCGCCGAGTCACGCTGCACGCGTGTTGCCGCGACGACTCGTGCTCGGAAATGACAACCTTCTCGGTGGATGCGGCACGTCCGCATTGTCCTCCGGCAGGCGCGATACCTTCTCGATGGATCCAACGAGTTTTGGCCCTGCGCTTGCGGTGACGTTGATCTCGACACGTCTGAATCCTGCACGCCAGTGCATGGGGTGAGGGGCATCTTGGTCGTGTCTCTGAATCACGCCAGCACAAGTACCGCGGGGGAACATTATGGACCTGTCTTGAATCAACCAGAGTATTGTAGTCCAGGGTTTGTAGAAGGGCGTATAGAAAGCCCAAGTACTAGTAGGGTGTTGTGAGCTTTGGGTGCAAAGAAAGTCGGGTAGTGTGCTCCCGCTGTGGCACGGCACACGATCCGCTGGAAGCAGCCGTCGTTTGGAGAGCCAGATTCATGGTACATTCCAATACATTGGCCACCTTTGGACCTCGAAGACCCGATGGCCGTTGGGGGAAGCATTGTGGCCATGGTCCTGAATCCTGGGGGAAACATTTTGGCCGCGTCCTGTCTCTTGGTGTTGTCCTCGGTGTCGTGCCGTCTTGGTCATCAAGTTTATAGAATGGATGGGTGGGAGGGGGCATAATTGAAAGATGATGTTTGGTATCGCGGCGCTGACTCGGGATACTCCACGTGCTTTCGGGACCAGTGGCTAGTTTCTTCATCAGGACATCAATGCCGACAGCGTTGTGAGTTGCTCGGGTCGGGTTGTGGTCCACAAGAGGTCACAAGCCTGCAAACATGAGCTTGAATACAGTTGCTTCGAGGATGGCCAATCTGATCGGTTGCATGGGAGAAATGTGCGATACAGCACAATTACGGTTGCCTTGTGTGCCTGTGAGCTAAGGATGTCTCCGACCCGGTCGCAGAGTGGCTGGATGGAATCATCCATCCCGAGTCACTTGACGAGCTTCCTTGGGATTTGGACGAGAGGCAAGGAGAAATACTGGGGTCCTCAGCTAGCACCATTCTTCGAACCTCAACCCGGTTGCCTGATTTCGGCTGTGCTTAGGGACCAGGGTGCAGGTTTTGTTCCTGCACCTCACGCCATATTTCCTAGGTCCTAGCTGTCCTAGCTTCTTTGAGCATGTCGTGTTGCTTAGAGGTGCAGTTGATCGAGCACGACTGCACGCCAGCCGGCAGTAGCTAGGGACGAGCCAGCCCCAGACATGTGCAAGTGAATAGCGAGGGCGTTTTTCTGTTCAGGCGGCATTCCCTGGCAGAGGCGAGCGCAAGGGACTCGAGGCAGGCCAGATTTTGCAAAGGGTTGATCGATGGGGCCGGAAGGTGGGACGGCGAGTAGCAGAAGCCGTGTGCAGTTTTGCATGATGCGCCACCAAGGATCCCCTGCATATGCTGTGGCTCCCACCGGATGAACCATTGTACACCTTCTTTGCTGCATTCTGTGTCAGCTGGCAAGACCCTTGCAGCTCCGTGCTGTGTGGGCCTGTTGTCAACAGCTAGTCGATCTGCTACGTCCATCGGGCCTGCAGAAGATGCAGAAGTTGCTTCCTACCAGATATGTCAGGCTACAGCTGGCAGACCTTGTGGTTTGCTCGCACCCAACGCTGCTGTGCCTCTTCATGGCAGAGGCAAGATGACAGCCAGCAAAGAGTGAGAAAGCGAGCCTCCATGATTGCACCCTTCTCGATTTTGCATGCAAGTGTTTCTGCACTTGCGCACGCTACGGTCTTGTGTACCAGTCAGATCTTGATGTCGTACTCGCAGGTCCTGCCGAAGCCGATGTTTGTACATGCATCGTCCACGCTGCTCTATGGTCTGCATTGTCAAAACTGCGACCGTGACGCATGGTACACCAATCTGCGACACTTTGGCACTTCGCATTTGGCACAGAGGCAGGTTTGCTGTCGTCTTCTGCATTCTGCAATCGGTGCTCCGAAGACCAGCTCTTGCTCCGAAAGGGCTACTTTTGCACTCCTGTGCAGGGCCAGGGTTAGATGTGATCGCCGTGGCAAACAGGCAACCGTCTTGTTTGGAGGTATTTGCAGCTCGCCCGCAACCTCCTCCTCAACAATCAGAATCTGGTCTTTATGGCAGAGGGTCGCTTTCTGGCCGAGCAAGTCCGAGACCAGGCTCAACCGGCACCGAATTGGGCGTGCTGCAAACAAGCATTAGAAATTGTGGAGATGAACTCCTGACTGAGGGGAGCCGTGGAATACTAAACGGCTGCAGGAGTGGAAGAGTTGATCTTGTTTGTTTATAGCTTGCGCTGACGCTTGACACAATGTCAACTCTGAAAGATGCTATCGGGTTGGAATGCCTAACTGACAGTGCAGATGCTTAGCGCTGCCAACTTGAAGCGCCGCCTAGCATGTCGTGATAGAAATCTATGTCGGGCAGGTGAGAGTGGAGGTTCCCTGGGTGCCACCACTGGGGCTCTACACGGCGGCAGGGAGTTGGCAGGGCGGCCAGCCCGGGTCGACGCGTCGTGCTGTGGTCCTGAGGTGCCTAGTCTTCACATGATTCACATGTTCCTGATCTATTGAAGCCAGAAAGGATGCTGGGCAGCACACCAATTTCCATTGATGCTCACGGAATTCGTCCACACAAGCAACGTCTCTAGTGCAAAACAGCGATGCCTTTGGAGGTGCTTGTTAATCACTGAGCGTCTTCTTGACAGGGGGCATGAGTTTCTGTTCGCGGCTGCGCTAATCCCTTCGAAGGGGTGGATTTGCCAACGGGCAGGCGATAACATGCACCACTCATGCCATCAGACTGCTTGTCGATTATTTGACACTCCCCGTCGCAAACCTCGGTAAACCCTTCGCTTGCAACTAGACACTGCTGGAAAGTTGCCGAACTCGTTTTTAGAAGCGGCGAAGCCTTCTCCCACAGCCTTCTGATCTTCTGCATCGCTTGTTTGGTCAGGCTGATCTGGATGCCCTGCCACATTGCATGTGCCCGCACAGAGGCTGCCGCATACTTCCCCAAGCCACACCACTGAGTCTGCAGGTCCCGCTTCTTCGTGTCCCTGAGGGGCGAGCTCTTACGGTCGCTTCTGCGAGAGATTGTGTCCATCAATTTCCCCAGATACCCCTTGGAGGCCCGACGGTCCCAGGATCAGCCGATCTGTGATGCACTTGTGCATGCTCCGGAAGGGTTCACTGTTTTGAGTGTTTGCAATTTGCAAGGTGGTCTTCCTGGGCAAGGACAATCAGTTTGACGAGCAATGGCTTTCCCTGCAGCAACTGGCCAGCGGGCGGGTTGCATTTGGCCTACCACATTACCCAACTCCGCATTGACCTCACGAATACCTCACGTGCAGTCGCAAGTGTGATTGACGTCGAGCAAGTTGTTCGTCAGTTTCGCGCATGGTAATGCATCGTGTGCCGAAGTGCCCTAAACGTGAGGCTTTGACGCTGCCATCCTTTGGCCAAATGACTTGCACCAGCGCACTTTCCACGAGGCCTACCGCTGCTCGGCGATCATGCCCCCACAACGCATCATAAGACGCAACGAGATCACGACATTTCGGCCAGGGTGTAACTCTGCTGCTACTACTCCTACTCCTACTACTCCTACTACTGGACTCCTACTACTCGACTCCTACTACTCCTACTACTACTACTACTACTACTACTACTACTAGTGTTACTGCCACTGCTACTGCTACTGCTGCTACCACGACTTCTACCACCACTGCTGCCACTACGAAGACCACCACCACCACCACCACCACCACCACCTCCACCACCACTCCGAACTACGATGAAGTATTACCAAACACGACATACTACAGGCTGCAAGCAAAATCTACTTGCGCAACACCACAGTGCCCAGTTGCCGTCATGTCTCTCGAACAGATTGCTTCAGCCAAGGGATGGCGATTCCACTGCTCATGCCTGATTCTGCCAGCCTCTTCCGAGCGCAACGGATGTCGAACTGGGGTTATGCTTCCTACGGGGCAAGTACGGCCGCGTGGCACCCAAATGGATGTCCACAGTTCCTGACCGGAGCTCGGTCTTCGCTGGACTGCAAACATTAAGTAAGAGTTCTTCGAGCCCTACTGTTTCAATTGTGAGACGTTGGTCTTTTTCTGCAATGCCTGACGCAAGCTCCAATTCGGCAAAGGTTGGGCTTGATGCAGGCGGAAGCTCATCGCCGAGGCGCATTAGTTTGGGAAGACTGCGGGGCCACAAAAAATCCTACATTGTTCTACAACTCTAATGCCTGCAACTTGAAGATGGCTTCACCCAAAGCCCAAATTCTCACCGCACGCTTTGAGTTTTCAACCTAGCAGCTCCCCCGAGCCCTCAGGCATCCATTTCCACCTTGGTGGAACTCTTTCAATGCAACACCAGACGTTATTGGCTACTGGGTACAGTTCGCGGATTGGGAGCAGCTGCCGCACATCCAGCGCAGCTTGGCGTTTTTGCTCAGGGGCTTGGGCGGAGGATGTATGGAAGGGCTGTCTACCGGCGGTAATACAACAAGACTTGCGGGATATTTGTGGGGCTGTCTACCTGCGGTAATACTTAAAGACTTGCGGTATATTTGTGCTTCAGTTGCTAGTGCGAGCACTGGCTAGCGGTGGCTAACATCTTGCACGAGGCTTTGCAACGCTGCCGGGCCTCATCGTGCAAGCAGCCACGATGAACCTGCAGCAGATCAGCAAAAGCATGTTGGAGCACCACGTTCAGGTTGCCAAGGACAGGGCCCCGTCTCGTGTGATCGTGGAAGTAGTGCTGCTTGTGCCAGCTTCATGAGCGTTTGCTTCTCGGTGTGTAGGCGGCTCTGGACCTGGTCTCTGAGAAGCTGGCATTGCTTGGCCGGAGTGACGAGCCAAGAGTACGCGAAAAGAGTGCGAGAGAGCAGGATAAGCGGTATTATGCTCGAAAGGCCTCGTGGACATCTCGTTGTCTCCCGCGCCAGTCTTGATGCATCCATCCAGGGAGACCGATGTTGATATGATTCCTCCCAGTTTGTACCGAGTTCTGACTTGAAGTTGTATCGAGAGCACGTGTACCTGCTGAAACGCTTTGCAGACCCCTTCAAAACGACGCATATGCAGATCTTTGAAGAAAGCCTCGCTTCAACCGATGTGTACTGGCAGATTTGCATGGTTGAGAAGCTAGTCTCAGCGGGCGAGGAGTGGACGAGGAGCCGGCGGGAGTAATTGTTTAGAATCTAACAACCCCACACAGAAGATGGTGAATCATCCTCTGGACTCCTCGGTTCCGATTAGTTAAGGTATATTTCCTTAATTACGGGCTCTGATTCCGGTCGTGGGGTGGCTGCGCACGTTGTTGTGGTCTAGGCTATGGGTCGAGTCAAGATTTTTCAGCGGATTGTTCACGCACCTACCCAATCTCAAATTTTTCAACCAGACAGCCCAACCCCTAAACCCGGAACCCTGAAGGCTTTCGCGCAAAACCGTTTTGTTCAAGTCCGACTTTGCATCCGACAGCACTCCAGCGTAAGTTGGGGTTTAGGGTTTGGGAGTTCCAGAATATTTGAAGGATGACTTCTACGAGGTTCGTTTATATTAGTGATGTAGTTTTGTAAAACTCCCATACTATTCAGCTGAGGTTAAGGCTTCAGGGTTTGGCCTACATGTCGGGTGTAGCTCCTGACAACAACAGCCCTTGAAGTGGTCACTCGGGTTCCTGAGCCCCAACCCCGAAACCTGATACCTACACCCCAAATACTGGTGGTCTCCCGGATGGGGTCTATTCTCTGTAGTCGGAATCGCCGAATTAGAAACAGGAGTTGCGGCACCAGACTGGCAGCAGCAATCGTCGTACTAGTAGTAGCAGCAGCAGGAGTAGTGGTGGTATTGGTAGGTTTCGGGTGTAGGGCTTAAGGCCTGTAGAAGCTGAGCTTGCTCCAGCAACAAAGGTGCTCAACATCTCTTGCGAGCTTCAACAGTCTGTCACATGGCCAGTTTACTTACTACCATTGTGCAGTGTACTAGTTGCAGATGGCGCGACGACGAAAGATGCACTCTAAGTCCCAGGCATTGAACCTAGGGAATCAAGGTTATTTTTTGCCACTTGTGACATGTCGATTGCTGTGGAAGTTGGATTGCTGAGCGGTAAGGCAGTTACTGTGGAAGTGGGTTTTGATGAAACTGTTGCAACGTTGAAATGTCGAGCACAAACCGCACTTGGAGTCGGACGCGGACGCCTGCTTGATCCATCTGGAAGCATACTGGATATGTCTGCGACGATCCAGACGGCCGGGCTGGAGAATGGTGACTCCCTGACCATGCACATAAACCAGACTAGAGTTCAAGCCAGTGCTGCAGCTTTTGCTGCCATTCTGGGTGATGGATCTGTCGTGACCTGGGGTAGTGCTTCCGACGGTGGCGACAGCAGTGCTGTGCAGGATCAGCTGAAGAATGTGCAGCAGATCCAAGCAACCAAACAGGCCTTTGCTGCGATCCTTGGCGACGGATCTCTTGTTACCTGGGGTCATCCTGACCATGGTGGTGACAGTAGTGCTGTGCGAGAACAGCTGAAGAATGTGCAGCAGATCCATGCAGGCGAGCACGCTTTTGCTGCGATCCTTGGCGATGGCTCCGTCGTGACATGGGGCTGGCCTATATTCGGTGGTGACAGCAGTGCTGTGCGAGAACAGCTGAAGAATGTGCAGCAGATCCAAGCCCATGATGTCGCTTTTGCTGCCATTCTTGGCGATGGATCCGTCGTGACCTGGGGTGAAGATGGAGAGGGTGGTGATAGCAGTGAGGTGCAGGATCAGCTGAAGAATGTCAAGCAGATCCAATCTTCCTACTCCGCTTTTGCTGCCATTCTTGGTGATGGATCCGTCGTGACCTGGGGTACGGCTTATTTTGGTGGTTGCAGCATGACTGTGCAGGACAGGCTGAAGAATGTGCGGCAGATCCAAGCCTCCCACCACGCTTTCTCAGCCATTCTTGACAATGGATCCGTCGTGACCTGGGGTCATCCTGACAGTGGTGGTGACAGCCGTGCTGTGCAGGATCAGCTGAAGAATGTGCAGCAGATCCAAGCAACCAAACAGGCCTTTGCTGCGATCCTTGGCGACGGATCTCTTGTTACCTGGGGTCATCCTGACCATGGTGGTGACAGTAGTGCTGTGCGAGAACAGCTGAAGAATGTGCAGCAGATCCATGCAGGCGAGCAGGCTTTCGCAGCCATCCTTGGCGATGGCTCCGTCGTGACCTGGGGTAATCCGGAGAGTGGTGGTGACAGCAGTGCTGTGCAGGATCAGCTGAAGAATGTGCAGCAGATCCAAGCCTGCCACCGCGCTTTTGTTGCCATTCTTGGCGATGGATCCGTCGTGACTTGGGGTGATCCTAAGCTTGGTGGTGACAGCAGCGCTGTGCAGGATCAGCTGAAGAATGTGCAGCTCCAAGCCGCTGGTGGTCAAGCTGTTGCTGCCCTTCTTGGCAATGGGTCCAAAAGGGCACGCCTGGATTCGGTGGTGACAGCAGTGCTGTGCGAGAATAGCTCAAGAATGTGCAGCAGATCCAAGCCCATGATCTGAATCCTTCATGTTGAGTTCTGGTTCATCCGCCGACGGGAGAGTGCGATCAGTCTTCGGTGCATCTCATGTGTCGTAAACCACTTTGTTGCTGGGACTTGGGAAGTTGACAGCGCTCATGGTTTACATGCTTACCTTTCTTCCTCGCCCTGCCTGCTACAAATGTAAAGCACATGTGACCCGAGAAGATGTCTCAGCCAAGTCAGAAGCATCTCTCAGAGCGTCGTCCGCAGTGGGCAAACCTAGCGGGCCTGTTCGGCGGGGGCAGGTCCTTAGGTGTTAAGCTCGAGAGCCCAAAGATCCGCAGCAAACGGCATACATGCTTTGGGAAAGGAGGCCCATGTTCAATCGGGAATGGACTACTGACTACTTCTGGCATGTCAATGTCTTCGGGGAGTTGGTGTTCCAAGGAAGGATTTCATGATTGATGCGAGCGCATGTGTCACGGTTCCTGCCGTGTGCACTTTAGAGATGTGACACTACACACGCAGCTCAACTACACAAGCGAGTGAGGCTAAGTATTTAGTAGGATGTCATAGGCTCGCAAGTTCGCTTCGAGTTCGCAATGGCTTGGAGCAGCTGTCCGCTGGCTCGCCATATCCCTTCCTCAAAACAGCCTGTGATCGTGTTGTTGCTCTGCTGCATTTGGTCTCAACTGTCACACGGACTGGAGCACAAACAACCCTGGGAAATTTGCAAGTAGCTGTAGCTGAGGGGGGGAAATGTCGAGGTTGTGATTTTGCAGCGCATCCGATAAGCCCTGATATCGTGTCGGGTTCTTTAAAAAATTCTGTGAGGTGGTGGGCGCTGGCAATGGGACAAGTTGTGCCTGAGACGGGTGATGACATATTCTGTAGCGACTTGGCCTGGCTCAGAAGAAGTGTTGTGCGGGAGGCGCCATGTCATGCACCAAACAGCCGGTATTTGCCAGCCGAGGCCACTTCATGAAACAGGAGGAGTCGCCCGCCTCCAATTCGGGCCGTTGAGTGGAAAACAGAACGAGGAATGGACAACGGAGTGCTTGCGCCGGTTTGTTGCCACTTTGCCGTGAGGTGTCTTCAGCATTTGCCCACGGAGGCCGAAGCTCTGAAGAATTTCTTGAAGGCTGGATGCGGCGTGAACTTCGCGTGCGTCTCTGCGGTAACTAGGTAGTGTTTCAAAACAAAGAAATTGCTTTCATGACTTTATCCCCGGCACTTTGGAAAGGAGCTGCAGAATGCGCCCGTGCCACAGCCAGGCGGTGATGCACGAGTTCCCGCACTGTAGAAGAAACTGATTTGGAGTGTCTAGATTCGTCCAACTTGATGCGCGAGGGTTGTTCAAAGGTGTTCGACCAGCATGTGGAATTGGTGGGAAGGGATCCACGAATAGACTTGATCCCTGCCCTGTCCAGGTTCCTTCGAAGGCAGAGGGATTGTCATGAGCGGAGGTCCCATGCACGTGCTACAGGCTGGGGTGGCGGTGGATGTGAGTCCTTGGGCAAATTTGTGTAGTTGTCGTTGCCACTTCTCGGCCACCACCGTGAGGCCTTGGCAAACTTGGAGGTGCTCCGCACGGAGCTCAAGTCCGGCATGCCTGTAGAGCCTGCCGCTCGCAGATGGCGTTTCAGTGTGGGAGCTTGGAGTTGCAGGGGCCCGTAGCAATCGAACTTCTTTAGTCGTTGTCAGGGATGGTGGCGGAAGTTGTTGACTTGGACCTGGAGGGCATCGGAGGGCAGTTTAGCGATTGCGAGATCTTCTTTAACAGTTGACACACTGAACCCTTCATGGCAAGACCCCGGCAAGCAATGGATCGGCTGCAAACCCAGAAATCGTTTTCTGGATTAAGCAAATCTGATGTGAGCTGCTCTCTTGTTCGGAGGTCTTCACAAAGAGTGCTGATGTTTCAGCGATGCCCCTGCTCCACACGTGTACCTGAAGTGATTATCTGATCGCTCCGAAGATCTTTGTGTCAGGTTCTGGCATGCCTTCGAGCTGGAACCCATCCACTGCCAAGCCTTAGCCACCCGTGGTGCCAAATGCCGGCAGCTTCAGGCACTGGGCACATATGGGCACATGTAGCTTCGCAAGTTGGGTGCTCAAAGGGCTAGGAGCTGCTAGAACCGTTGCGGCATCAGTGCTTGTTCGCGTCTCGGCACTTGGACTTTGACCAGGTGCCGGGGGTTTACCGCCAGTTTGAGACCGTTCTGCCGCCGCTCGTTCGCACCAGAACATCTCCCCCGATTCGCTCTCAAGAAGTGCTGTGTTTCCCTGTGCTATCGAAACCGCTGCTGGCAGCAAGCAGCGCCGCCCAGGTCCATTATGGCATCCTCCTTCCGGGAAATCTTGTGGCTTGATACCGACATCACGCTGCTGTACAGACCAGAGGAGCTCTTCGATTCACCTCAGTATCAGAGCACCTCGGCGATATCCAGCGAAAGCACATTGCTGCGACACGCGTCGCAGAAGCGCCCGTCGAAAATTCGAGGTACTGGCGCGCTGTTCTGGCCAGAAGCTGGGCCGCACTGACCTGGCTCATGGCGGTGACATGCAGTAACGGAGTTAAGAGTGAAGCCTTTATTCGACTGGGTTTGGGTTAAACTGATTGCGCCTCCGCCACATGCAGGATGTCATGTGCCAATTAGGGCTTGTTACCGTGGCGCAGCAGCGGTTCACTTCAGCAAGCTCTGCTGCTTGCTCACGTGTGCCCTAGAGATTGGAAGTTTCTCTATCATGCTTTGCATTTCAGGACCACTGGTCCTTCGATTGCCGGCCGTGGGGGCAAAGTTCGTGGCCGGGTCATGTGGCTCTCAAGCTCCTTTGCTTTTGAATGCAGCAGTTTGGGGGCTGTGGGCCTGCAGCCAGACAGAGGCCTCCACGGCTATGCTCATGATGAGCCAGCATTGTTTCTATCTAGGATTCTAGGAAGCGCCTCCGCATGCGAGGCCTTCGCCTGTTTCCCCATCAGTTCTGCTGGTCCTCCTCTTAGGCTGCTGCAATTGAAACACAACGCCTCGGACATGCGGCCAGGCTGCACGGCGCTTGAGTATTCTTCGGGGCTTTGGGTTACAATTTATGGTGGAAGAAGGCGAGGTCTTACAAGCCACGTTTGATGTGTCAGTCGCGTCAAACACGACTTGCAGAAAGACCTTCTGAGGCAGTATGCCCAAGAGCACGAGACTGGACACTTCCTCATCGATCGGGACCCTTCCTGCTTCTGCCTCATGTTGTGGTAGAAGTGGTTATGCCACATTGTGCTGAAACTGCAATGGCCTCAGACTAGGCACGTTTACACATTGCGAGATATGTCGAAAGACTTGGAAAGCCGCGGAGCAGTGGCTTCTGACTTGCAGGAAAGACACTGGAAGCCCATTTGCTTGGCCAACTACATGGCATCACGGGATTTCTTCACTCGCGTGCTCCATGGATACAAGGACCGAAGCGTCACATGGCGCCACTGCAGAAGAACCAGCATCCTGTCAGGATGTCTTCCGCTTGGCCTTTCTCAAGCTGAATGCATCAAATTGGCTGAGCCCAGTACGTCCCGGACTTGTGGGAGGCTTCTTGCACAACGGGCTTTACTTCCCGGCAGCTTTGGTGCAGCCACTTGCCACAAGAAAGAGCAAACTATGATTTTCGGAACCAGAAATGGTCTTCCCTTTCTTTCGTGGCCATCCCCAGGTTTTGGCCGGCCGGAGATCTTTTTGGAACAGGCCCGCATGGCCGGCATATTCCTTTGTACATTCATCAGAAGACCCTTTGCTGCAGTTGGCTCGGCATGGAACTCAGAGTGTTCTCCCGTTGGCCTGGTCGAGCGTGCACGACGGGCAATTTGAACGTAGCTACCACGTGCAAAACAGAGATAGCTCCGCGCTTCTCGCTTGCCAGCGGAACCGTTTGTCACGATACTCCAGTATCGCTGTCAACATGAGTCCTGGGTTCCGCCACAAACCCATACAAAAGCCATGTAGCCTCTCAGCTAATCCACCCCTTGCGCGAAATCATCAGCAAAACCTGCAGAAAAAGGAAAGTTCCCGGCAACATTTGGATGGACATTCTTACCTTTGACACACCGCTTCTCGTCGGCATCCAGCTGCGTCTTGCCTTGGTCTTGATTGCAATTCTAAGAGATGGACAAGCCGGACATGTGTGTGAAAGCAGGAAGAAGCTCGTTCGTGTTCGAAACTTGCAGTCAGGATGGGAAGGTGCATCTCTTATCAGCTGACGCCTTTTGACGTGCTGAAGGAGGCTGACAGGACTTTGTGGCAGGTTGGTGAGACAGACCTCCAACTAGTGCCCGGCCTTCAACAGAAAGCTGTGCTATGTTTATTGGGGGGGCTTCCGAAAATTATAAGAGAGGTGTCAAGCCAGGTCAGCGTGCCAAGGCGATGTTAAGAGGGGAAACTCGATTCTAGCATTCAAGCCTTCTGACAACAGGCGAGACTCATGAGGGGCTTACGATTGTTCCAGAAATCTCAGGCCGAAAGAATCAGTCGGGCCGGCCAGGTGTGGGATGCTGCACTTCGGCTGAAGTGATCCCGAGTGATGGTTTCCTTTTGCAAGAAAGTCTCGTGACCCCATTGAGGCTTACAACATTGCACGAGACCGGCTCCTCCCTTTCCTGCAATGTGCCCAGCTGGACCTGCAGTTTGCCGTGGGCGCGAAAGAGAGGTGTTTCATGGCATGTCTCTGGGAGGTCCCCTGAATCGCAAGCCAAGTTGGAAGTGAAGCGCAGCAGCAAAGCACCGCTCCCAGTCATGATGCAACGAACAGCGATATCAGAAGTCCAGTCGCAGCGTAGTGCGCGATTTGGAGCATTCAAGAAGCGCTTGCGAGGTCGTGTGACCGCATGTGTCATATGTGCCACGTTTGTCCCAACAGACCGCACCCGTGCACGCCAGCCGAAGCTGCAATTCTTGGCTGAATCTCTTGGACCGGTGTAGGTCCTGTCTGGAGCTAGCCTCGGCACTGCCAAGGTTACCTCGACATTCAAGACCTTGGTGGAGAGTTGCCGTGTCTTGGCAAGCGATAGCTTCCCAAAAACGAGCCGTTCATGTCAACCGGGCAGGATGCGACTATGATGATAACATGATTCTGCACATCCTCACTGCAGGGCGCTCGGAACCATCGAAAAGCTTCCTCACTGCAACAGCCTCTTTCTATGTCTGCAGGTTTGGCAGCAGGCCGGGGATCCCAAGACGCTTCGCTTGCTTGACGAGGCGAGAATTTGTCCAGAGCATCTCAGAGCATTTTTAAGTGCACGTTGAAATGTTTTGTTCCCGTGAGGGTACCTGCCAACCGGTCCTGCAGCCGTTCGACTGGGAGACCTGCCCAATCGGGTACACTGCCCTGGCCGTGCTTTGCTCACAGCTGCTGCCGGAGCCTAACCCGGAAGACCTAAAGTGACTTGTCGCTTGCCTCGGTGGCGTGGGCTTGTTAGTGAGATAGACACAGAATACACGGCCGCACATGGGATAAGGGTGGTGCACGTACCGCCAAGTGATCCATCAAGTGTCCAGGAGAAGGCCGCAGCGGCCAAAGATGTTGTCAGCAAGCTCCTGCCTTCTGTGGATGCTCGGCACTGATAGATGGATAGATGGACAGATACTCGTAAGGACCGCTCAGGTTCCGGGTTAAAAACATAGGTGTTTGAGCATGCCTGAAAAATTCTTCGAACATCAGAAAAATCGGAAAAAAAAGCCTTCGAAAAATATCGAAAAGCTGAGAACCCACCCAGCAAGGCCGGGGCCGCTCAGCGATGTTTCGATGAATTTCCTAGGGCATACCAAGGAAGAAGAACAGAACATTATCCAAAAAAACACAAGGCCCATCCAGGGCTGCATGTTCGATGATGTCTCGAGGAATTTCCGAGGGGCTACCAGAAAAGTATGTTTTTTTTTGAAGATGCTTCAAGAAATTCCTCGAAAACCCACCCGCTGAGTATGGGGCTGCTGAGGGCGGTGCTGGGCTGCATAGTCGACGATTTGTCGAAGATTGTTCGATGTTTGTTTCGAAGGTTGTTCGAAGAACTACTTATTTCCAAGATTTCCAGTCTGTGGCTGGGCAGGTGCTTCGTCAGGGTTCAGCGAAAAAAGAAAAGAAGAGTGGGGGATGCTGGCACAGTTGATTTGATTTTTAGGGGTTTCAAGGGGTGCATACATGCTTGTAAAGACACAACAAGGGGCTATTGCACGTTTCACCGTTAAAGCCGCCCGAAACCCCACATGTCCACGCCTCCCAATGAGTAGTCAAGCCAGGAACTGAAGGGCTTATTCGGGTCCGTTTGGAGAGCGAAGTTTTATGTTCGGTGTTGGAGATCATTGTGCATTTGCGGCTTGGGCAACTGTGCAGTTTGAGAAGTCTAGTAGTTCCTGTCCACTCTTTGCAACGACGCTTAGGAGTACTGCTTGGGATCCAAAGGAAAGGCACTGTGGCCTCTGGAGCTTCTTCATCGCATCATGGAGTGGGTGTTTGCGGCTCAGAAGTTTGGCTTTGATCGTCCCAGGGTATCCAAGGCTAGAGCATTTGAAGATTTTTGCTGGGGAAAGCGGCCGGCGACAGTATCCTGGCGACTTTTCTTTGAAGCCAGAGCAGGCGCCTAGGGGTATGTCAGGGGATTGCCTTGTGCGCGGAGCTGTCCACTCGGATGGAGGTGTTGCACCGTTCCACATGTCGGGTCTATGTGTGCGGTGAAGAAGCAGGTGGCAAAATTCCCTGCGTCCATCCAAAGCTTCCTGGCAGAGATGTTGCCTCCTCTGGTCGTTGTCGCCGCGGCATTGCAACTGTACTCGGGAATCCTGTAGCATCTTGACACCGCGCTGTAGGATGTATTCCGCTGGACACAAACTGTTGGAGTATTCGTGCTTCGGCAGCACTCTGGAGTGCCTGCTTTGTGCCAGATGTCGAAACCCGCTGTCCGTGGCGAAAATGACGATACTGAAAAGGAATTGCATCCTGGGCTGAACCCCAAACTCCATGTCCAGGAAACGCCTGGCCAAAGCAGCTTCCTGATGGTACGTTCGTAAGACCGAGCATGGCTATGGAAGGGACGCCTGCCTCAAACAGACTGCAGCAGTTGTCTTCACCACATGCGGAAAGGGCTCAGGCCGAAAGCCTGTGCGGGCTTTTCCTAACAGCTTTCTGTAGCCGCATTCATCTCGCTTCGTCCATCCCCTTAGGTACACATCGTGTGCAGACCTCAGAGTTGAATGAGCTTCGCAGACCTCTCGAGAACACAGGGTTCAACGATGCTGATAAATCAGATCATTCGCGAACTCCTGGCCAAGGCCGAAATTGCTGCGAACCAGACATAGGCAGCATACTGCGCCCCTCGTCTCAACAGACTGTATTGTCTATTCATACCAACTCAGACTTGTAAACTTTGTAATGAACGACACCCCAGCAGCTGAGGCGACATCTGCTTTGATTCCAAGTTTACAGAGGATCGCTGCTGTGGTCCAAAACCTCACTGAAGGATGCCGGAATCCTCCTTTTCCAATCGCGAGGGCGCTTGTTGATGTACAACCGGCCCGCAAGCGGCTTCGGGTGCTCTCGACAAGAGCCCCGGCGGCGGCTCCTTGCACAGGCTTCGCCGATTGGATTCGGCCGCGATCAACCGCACGACGTTGATTTGCCAATATTTGCCAGCTTGGAAAGAGCAGACTTTCGTCCACGGTATACGCTGGATCTCGCCCGGCACGAGACGGCGAGGCGAGGAGGGCAACAGAACGACGGTGACTGCTCGGGCTCCTGCATCTTACACGTCGCATCATGGGGCCACGAGCTCCCAAATATTCCAAGTGCACGCTCCAAGATATGTACGCGACTTACCCACGTTTCACCTTCGTCCATGAAGGCAGGACTGACGGGGTAGGTTCAGTTCTTCTCCAGCGGCAGCTGGACGAAAATCGGAAAAACAACGTGAGCTGGCCTGCTCCACAAGCTGATCTATTTTTAAGCATTGCTAGCAAGTGTTTCAGCCTAGCCTACCCGAAATCCATAGAAGCTGTGTGCCAGAAGCTCACGAGGGCACGAGGGTACTTGCAATTTGCCTCCAACTAGCAGCAGTGTGCCACAGACCTGGCTCGATTCATGCGTTGGCAGCCAGCATGTACTGCCATAGGTGGTGATACGATCCACCGAGATTCATGCTGTGTTGTTGGGTAGTCGCTGCTTTTCTCATCAGTGCCATAGGCATGTGAGCCGCTCAGCTCTTCCTGGAGCTCATGGTATCTCCTGGTTCTTCCGATATCGTCGCTGATGCCAACAAGCTCCAACAGTCCGCTTCGAACTACTTTGCCTTTGCTGCCTGGGCCTTGGATACCTTAGTCGGCGGCCAGAAGAAGCACTGCGGAAGACTGCTTGCTCGTGCTTTCACGGTTTGCATCAGCAGGCTCTGTCTCCTTGCCTCTAGCCATGGCGGTGAAAGAGAATCAAGCACCGCAGCGGACGCTGCCACAGTTTGCAGCGCCCCGGCACACAGGGTCAGGCAGGGTCACGAAGGCATTGAGACCGAGATGTCATGGTGAGCAGCGGTTTTTGAGATCGAGTCTGCGCGGGATATTTCGGCCCCTGTCTCTCCGCTTGGTGTTCTCGTGCAACCAAGGCCATAAACTTAAAGGAGACCAGTCGCCAGACTTGAAATTGGTCGGGCTTCGACCGAACGAAGCTTCCCACATTGACAACCAAGGTGTTTGCGTTATTTGCCAGCGGAGGCTGAAGCTCTCGAGAGCTTCTTGCAGGCTGGAAGCGCTGCTATGTCCACCGTGAGCTTGAAAACTAAATGCAAAGTCAGAGCACTTGGCAAGCAGCGGCTAATCAGCTGTCGAGTGAATTATTGAAAGGAGCTGCAGAAAGCTCCCGCACCGAAGCCAGGCGCTGATGCACGAGTTATCAGACTTAGATTCGTCCAACCTGATGAGCGAAAGGTTGTGACTGGGGCCTGGGGACGATGTGGAATTTGTCGGCTGTTGGAAAGGGGTCTGCGAAATCGAAATCTTGCCTGCCCTGTCCAGGTTCCTTCGAAGGCAGAGGGATTGTCATGAGCGGAGGTCCCATGCACGTGCTACAGGCTGGGGTGGCGGTGAATGTGATGGAACACTTGATCAGCAATTGCCTGTGCCGGTCGTAGTCCTTGCAGTCCTTGGGCAAATTTGTGTAGTTGTCGTTGCCACTTCTCGGCCACCACCGTGAGGCCTTGGCAAACTTGGAGGTGCTCCGCACGGAGCTCAAGTCCGGCATGCCTGTAGAGCCTGCCGCTCGCAAAAGGCTCTTTATTGCAGGGGTCCGTCTGAATTCAAATTTCTTTGTCGCTCAGAATTTGTCGATGTTGGCGTGCCGTGGCAATTTGCACAGCAGGATGGGGGCTGTGGGCGGGAAAGGTATGTTTACAACGTCAGCTGGCAGCTAGCGGGTGCAATTCGAGCAATTTTCCGATTACTAAGCCCTCGTCGAAACACCTCAGCCTCAATCCAGGTTCTGGCATGCTTTCGAACTAGAACCTGCTCACTGCGAAGCCTTGGCCTCGCGCGGCGCCGAATGTCGCCAGCTTCAGGCAGCCACTCGCTTGGGGCCTGTGGCGAGGGAGGTTTGGTTTGGGCTCCGCAGGTTTGCAGCTCGAGCGGTATGCACACTTGTCGTATCCTTATAGACAACCAGGGCAGGTCTCAAAGGGGTAATGATATACCTGCAGCAGCAGGAATTCTGACACCGGTTCTCTCTCCCTCTCTCTGGCTCGCGCGTTTCGTCTGTCTTTCCACGCATGCGCGGCAGCACTTGGACTTGAACCAGGTGCCGGGGGTTTACCGCCAGTTTGAGACCGTTCTGCCGCCGCCCGTTCGCACCAGGACGTCTCCCCCGATTCGCTCTCAAGAAGTGCTGTGTTTCCCTGGGCTATCGAAACCGCTGCTGGCAGCGCGAGGCAGGCTCCCAAGCAGCGCCGCCAAGGTCCATTATGGCATCCTCCTTCCGGGAAATCTTGTGGCTTGATACCGACATCACGCTGCTGTACAGACCAGAGGAGCTCTTCGATTCACCTCAGTATCAGAGCACCTCGGCGCTTTCCAGCGAAAGCACATTGCTGCGGCACGCGTCACAGAAGCGCCCGTCGAAAAATTCGAGGTACTGGCGCGCTGTTCTGGCCAGAAGCTTGGCTGCACACTACTTGATCTGGCGTCCGATAGCCGTTGCTGACGTGGCTCACTAGCTTAGTCAGTCTTTGCTCCACGGAACACGGAAACGCGTATCTGATTTCGCTGCTGCCCTGGATGCAAGACTTATCTGACAACACATGCTGTAGTCGAGGGCACCGCTATTACGCATCAGTTGTAGATTGTTCTGTTTCATAGCAACCCCTGCTGATGTGTCCTCGGAGATTGCTCGGCAAGTGCAGGTCAGTATTTAAAGTCAGTGAGCTGCTTAATGCGGTTCAGCCAACACCCGAGAAGTGTCTGCTCACATACAGCCAGCATGTGGTGTCACACATAGGGCACAAGACCTCGCTCACTTGCAAGCAATGCAAAGTGCTTGAACACATGGAACACTATTACACATCAAGATACATCAAATACATGCGATAACCCTTTTTGCAGGACCACTGGTCCTACGACTGCCCACTGTGGGGAGAAAGCTCGTGGCCGGGTCATGTGGCTTTGAAGCTCCCTTGCTTGCGAGAGGTTCAGATGTCTTTGATCTTTCAGTTTGGGGGCTCTGGGCCTGGAGGGGGCCTGGAGGATCCTGAAGGCACCGCAGGCGCAGGCGCTGTAACCTGGTGGAACTGCAGGATGAGCCAGCACTGAAGCTTGCTGCTTCTCTGTGCAAGCCAGGCCCGCGGTATGGCCATGGTCGATACATGTGTCCGCTTTAGTTCTGCTGATCCACATCTTAGGCTGCTGCAATTGAAGCACAACGCCTCGGACATGCGACCAGGCTGCAGCGCAGACACTGCAATGGCCGTTGCTTCGGAGCCTTCTCAGGCAGTATGCGCAGGAGCACGAGACCGGCCACTTCCTTATCAATCGGGACTGTTCCGCTGCTTCATCTGTGTATCCGCTCGATGCACTTATTGTGTACCCTTTACAGTGACACTCAGTGCTGCAAGCTCGTATTTCGCAGCTGCAGCTTCTTCGCCTGCAGGAAAGACACTGGAAGCCTATTTGCTTGGCCAACTACATGGCATCACGGGACTTTTTCACTCGCGTCCTCCACGGATACAAGGACCAGCGCGTCACAGAAGTGTCAACAGAGAGGAGAAGTCTCGGCACGTGTCGCGAAGGCATTGCGGAACAGATCAAACAGCCCTCCCAGGATGTCTTCCGCCTGGCTTTTCTCAAGCTGAATGCATCAAACTGGCTCAGCCCCGTGCGACCCGGCCTTGTTGGAGGCTTTTTGAACAATGGGCTTTTCTTCCCGCAAGCCTTGATGCAGCCACTTGGCGGCAATGATAGGGTGGAAAAATGTCAATCCTGCGCTGCGCATCAGACCCGTTCTTCGGAACAAAACGATTTCGGCATCCCAAGGTTTTGGCCAGCCGGAGATATGTTTGGAACAGGTCCGCATGGACGAAACATTCCCCTTTACATTCACCAGAAGACTCTTTTCTGCAGCCCTGAACACAGGGTGTCCTTCCGTCAGCATGATGGGTTTTGCCTGGTCATCAACTCTCACACGTTTTTTCAGGCTCTTGATTCTTGTCGATGTGTGGCCAGCCTTGGATATAGGATTTAGGTGTTGGGCAGTTGCAAGGGTCTCCGGATCTCCAGTACCACCAAACTCTGAGCAAGGCATCTAAATCCAGTGAGTCTAGAAAAACGGCTGTCGCCTTAGTAGGAAAAACCTGATGAAGTTTCGAAAGCCTTTCCATGCATTGTACCATAGCCCATGCAGCAACCCCTCACTCCCCAAACCAAACCCTGCCGGACTGTACAAGGAAGGAACCTGGGAACCTGTGGATGGATGTTCTGACCTTTGACACGCCGTCGCCGGTCCGCGCTTTGCACATTCTGATGCCCAAGCCGGTGTTTGAAGGCCAACGGGGAGCGAAGCTCACGAGTTCAGGCTGGGAACCTGCAGCTCCTACACGATGCTACCCTTTGATGCGCTCAAGCCCGGCGACTGGAATCTGTGGCTTGTAGGCGACACAGACGTCCAGCTCGCACCTCGTTTTCGATCAGATCGGGGATGCACAAGTCACAAGTGCGAGGAGATGAGGGAATAGGGCTCGATGCCGAAAGAACGACAATGGGCAGCACAATGTGATTTTGTGTGTAAGCTAACTAGAAACAGCAAACCTAGTTGACTTCCACGACATTTGGTATCAGTCAGTGTCCCGGTTTGGTAATCGGTAATCTGGACCACAACCTCTTAGTAATTCTGTTGGTTGATGAAGCAGCCTCAATCCCAAAAAGTGACATATGTGACACAGGGGTATGCCGACCTAGATTGGAAGCGAGAATGACATGCCGTGATGTGACTTGCTATAGTTGAGGCAGAAAGGATCACTACTGCAGATCTGCTGTGGGACGTTGCGCTTTGGTGGCACACAAGTCCAAGGCAATTGGGCAGCGCATCTGATTTGATAGATTGGTCCTTGACAGGCCTACAAAGAAGCCCGTGATAGCTTGCTGCCTCTACTGCTGCAGCCTTAGCCATGCGACGAGTTCGAGCTTGTGCTTGGTGCGGATCCACTTCGCTGTGTGAAGGTCGGTAACTGCGCAAGCAAACAGGGACTTCGAGAGTCGTCCCGCAGGCAGCCTCGGTGTTGCCGAGGTCAGAAGAAGACCAAGCAAAGCTGCTCCCGAAGAAAAGCGCTTCAGCGCGAGACCCTGCAAGCATGCCGCATGGAGGATGCAGTAGCATGCAGCAGTTTTTCCAGGCTAACGCCGACTGGCATCGCAATGTCGAAGGATGCCGCCACCTGGCATGTCTTCCTGGGCAGATTCTTGCTTCCCGCAGTCTTAGCTTTGCCCTGGGATACTGCATTAGTCAAGTTTCAAGCTCCAGGCATCAGGCCCTGTCAGAGTCTCCCCATGAGGCTGCAACTACGATGACAACCTCGTTTTGTTGGTGCTGACAGCCAGGGGCTCGATAAAGCCCAGGGGACACGGAAATGTGCCAGTAAGCTTCCACCGCCATGGCTTTCTCACACGCTTCTCGCTGATCCTGGGTGTTGCTTCTCGTAGGTCCTTTCGGTTGATACAGAAAGGCGGTTCGAGATTTTCCCCACAGCACCTGGGCGCCATTCTGACTGGCCAGCTGTTCCATTGCACGTGCACCAATGAGTTGCGACATGTTACGACCCCGGATGTCCTTGAATCATTGCTTCCTTGGCCGCTACCTGAGCACTCCTTGCTCTTCTAGCCCAGGCACTGTGCGATCCGATTCTGCTGGGATTTGACTGGGAGTCGTGCCCAATTGGCTTCACGGCGCTGGCGGTCCTCTGCTCACAGCACCTGATGCACGAGGATACAGACACTTGCAGGCACGCGATTCGATTTCGCACAGATCGCATCAAGCTGTGGGCACCAATACTTGAGGTCTAGTCTAGCAGCAGAGGGTCGTGGGGTGCGCACTGCAGGGTCCGCCCATGTGCTTTTCCTTCCCCTTCACACTCTTCAGGCTGCAATCCCCGCAAACTCTGCAAGGCCCCACCCGTTCCCCTTCCATGCATAACCTTTGCGTAGAGACGTGGCTCAACCCCCAGAACGAGCAGAACTGCCGCCCTGAGTCCCGTATCGATTCTCCGGAGATGCTAAGGACAAAGCGGCAGTGGCGAAAGAAGCACTTATCAAGCTGGTGCCTTCAGTAGACAGCTGTCAGCAGTGATGCCATATTTGTTTCTCAAGAAGTGCCGGGAGTCTGGGCCGTCGAAACGACGGCAGGTTGTTGAAACCAGACAGTGCGGTGTGAGCATGTCTGGATTGCATCACCGGAGCTAGACCGCAAGGCGACCGCATTGGAATGGTCTAGGAGTCTAGGGTGCGTGGGCACCTTTACCGATCGTTTTGATCACAAAGTTGCATGACTTCTTGTCATCGACAGTTGCATGCTTCTGCTGAGTGTTTTTTTAGGTGCCCTCAACTTACGCATGTTTTCTGAAAGGGTTTGTGCAAGTACAGAGTCGCGATCGGCTGCACAGTGCTCATGGCATCATATGGCATCCCTTCATGCTGCATGGGGCTTGCACGATGGGACCCAGGAACAATGCCTGGCAAAGACGGCGTGGCCGCTGAAGTGGCAAAGTTGCACATTCAGTGTTGCTTAGAAGCGGCCTTGCCGTACCCACGCTCTGATGTAGCTGCGGTCTTGTCAGGCTCGAGGACTTGCAGCAGTTTGTGAATGGCACTGCCAGCAGCTACCCTGGAGACTTCAAGCTGCAGCCAGAGAAGGCTGGAAGTGTCAACCCGGGGCTGCCTGTCCAGGCCCGGCTAGGCTGGACGAAGTAGGCAAGTATCAGTCATCAGGCATGCAGGATTTCGCGAGCGAACGTCTCAAGACACGGCTGCTACACATCAGAAGCCGGCGACTTGCGAATCAGCCGCAGATGACAGGTGGCAATGCTTGGGGCATCGGTCCAACGCGACGAATCTGCACCAAAGCCTGGCTGCTTCTGCAAATCTCAGCTACGGCCCAGCGACGACATGTGACCAAGTAGGGTCTGCCAATTCAGATGTTTCTTGCGAACGTCAGAGCATGGTCATACCTACAGACTACACCGTTATTGACCTCGCGCCCTCCCCTGACTGATGCTGCTCCACCGAATCAAGTATAGACTGAGGGTTTTCACGGAAAGCGAACAGAAACTCGAAAACATGACACTGGTGTTCGGAACATCTCGTGTGGCAAGGTTGCCTTCCGCTGAGCATGAGCTGCTGGACTCCAAGTCGTTCGGTTGCAGACTCTGGAACAATTTTCGTGTGCATCTGTTGGATCCGGCCGGCTCAGCCGGCTTTCCAGGCGCATCACAGGCATACCGAGACATTCGCAGCGAGCAGCCTGTGACGCTTTTACTCACACTTTTACCCTTGCCAAGGAAATCGGTGGCAAGAGCGTGACCATCGACAGCAATTCGTGATCAAGGATATGGAGATGCTCACATCAATTTAGCTGTGATCAATTCACTGTCGCTCTGGCTTTCTAGCACCTGATGGATAAGCGCAAGGATTCTATTGTTTTTGGTGACACTCGACTATGCCCTCACTCTTGTCAAACAAAGAACAGGTAGGAAGACGGCAATAAAAGCTGAAATTACTGTTAACCGTTGTTCGATGTTGTTCGTGCTTTTCGGCCCAGGTTTCACGCTTGCCCATGCCTGAGAACCGCGTTTGACCTGGAGGGAGGGGTCATGCAAGCGCCCACCATGTGTTGAAGCATCGAGGCCGATACTGCTGCGACAAGAACATTCCACGGCCTTTTCGCACCCATCCTGCATTCTGTGCTATGTTCGTGATGCAGTTGCGCATACATCGGCTCATAAAGAGATGGAGCTTATTCAATCATTCGAGGCAAGCCGTGCTTCGACTCCACATTCACGGAGCAATGCTGCTGCAAGGGGGAAGCTTGATTGGATGTCCGAGCCGTCCTGCCATTGGCAAGAGCGCTTCACTGCGGCATTTAATGCTCATGACTCGGACCAGTCCGATAAAAGTTGTTACCAATGGACGACAGGGGGTGTGTGACGTGAGTCTGTGATCTCATGCAGCACACGTCGATGCTGATCGCCTTGTGATCGAAAGCTTCGCGGCTTGGACTTTGAGTATCTGGCTTGGCGGACGAACAAAGAGAAAACTTGCTCAATGCAGGTCAACAGCAAAATGCAGCGAGGCAGAGGATGGCAGAGGCCAAGTCGACTGCAACTGTACTTCGCAGAGATCATTTCAACGTCGAAGCTCATCGCACTCACGTACTTTCGCGAATTCAGCTGGGAATCGTTTGCTGGGTTGGGTATTCTTGGTTGGCAACGTGCGAAGATTTGCACGGCATTCGCTTTAAGATGCTTGCGCTTGCAGTGGATGTTTCCACCATTCACCTGGAGCTGGCAGCGACGTGATCTCCACCGGCTCTTGATGGTGCCTGTGAGTCTGGCTGATCGAGCTGAAACCTTCGGGTGAACTAAGCGCAAGCTGAGAATGTGCCTGCATCAAAAAGGAGGACACGTGGGGATTGGATTTCTCACCGACTGACCTTGACTTGGCCGCGTCGCATCTAGCAGGCTGCAGCCGTCATGCTTTGGGCCGAACAGCTGCTCAAGACAAGCCGAATGATGCTGTGATACCAAAGCACTGGCAGCGATAGTCCCTGACGCAAACTCTGTAGTTGCAATACAAGCAATGTTCTCGACATTTCTCGACTGCAAAGTTACGAAAGCAGATGGGTGTCTTGTCCTCGTTGGGGTTCAAAGCACCCAAGTGTTGAAGCCAAAGTAGCATCAGAGATGGGTCTTCTCCGCCAGCTGTGCAGATACTTGAGCCAGGAACTCATGTCGACCCAACACCTTAACTGATGCAGACTGGGCCGCCAGTCCACTCTCGCGGGCATGTCGCTGCAGAGCGCGCCACCAGACCATGGCACCAAGCTTGGAAGTGCTTCGCTGCGACTGATAATGTGAAGCCTAATGAACAAGAGAAGCCGATTAGCCCTCCTACGCATCAAATGATTGGCGTCGCAGCAGAGGCCCGGACAAACTCCACGAGCCCCCCGGCGTAGAGATCGGCACGCCAGCTTTGCCCCCCGATGGCAGGCACGAGTAAGGGGCTGAAGTGATAGCTGCGGGCTCTTTCAGCGGACTCTCTCAGCAGAGCGATGTCGGTGGAGTATCAAGGTTCTCTTGTATCACATGGGCAACTACAGCCCAGGGTGGAGCTGTGGCTGTCCGTCCCAAAGGCCGCAGCCGAAGCCATCGTCACACTCCTCGAGTTCCGAGTCGGGCAGCAGCAGCAGCGACGAAGACGGGGAGGAGAGACTGAGCCCGAGAATGGTCAAGTCATGTTAGGTAGGATAGCAGATGACAGAATCAGCTTGCGGACTCCACCTCCAGCATTTCAGATAAAGTCGCACCGTATGGTGGATTTTGCTGCCGTTGCGATGGCAGGACAGCCATGCTGAACGCGAGGCGCATTGCGGTGAGCATGTCTGGCGGCAAGAGTAAGAGAAGGGGCTTCCTCATTCGGGCTACAGAAGAATGAATTCTCGCAAGGCAACTTATATATACAAGTGGTCTTCCTGTTTCTGCAGATGCCTGCTCGTTCGAGAATTGACACTGCCACCTGCAGTTCGGACCGAAATCTCATAGCCAAACCCCAAGTTCTAGCCTATACTGCATAGTTAGTTCATGGTCTTTATTCCGCCTCTGCTCGTTTCCAGCCAACTCGTCCTGAATGAAGGCCGGGTGTGTCGCCAAAATCAATTTTTGGCTCAGTAGCAGAGGTTTGGAAAGTCCAGGAAACATCCAGGAAACACCACCACGCCACTAGCATTGTCAGAAAAGGCACGACAAGACGTGGTTGCCAAGTGACTCAAGCACGCCCATAGCCAGCCCAGCCCAATGCTCTGAGCCCACACCCCTCCCTCGAGAATAGCTTCGGAGACAACACCAGCACGAGTAACAGAGTAGCGGAGAAAATGATCTATTTGCCACGATGTTGGAATGGCCTTCGTGTTGGACTTCATGCCACTCGGTTCGACAGTCACGACGATTCTTGACCTTGTAGACGCATGGAAGGCACTGGTTAAGTGGCTGTGTGGCTGTGGTTGTTTAAAGAGTTCCGCTGGGACCTTTCAGCAGATAGGCTCCGTGGCCGTTACTGTCGTGAGCTTTTCTGCCTTGTTTGGACTTGGAACACTTCTTGACGAGGTCCTCGTCTTTTCCTTGGCGATTGGCGCCAACATCTCCGACGTCAACGCAACGGATCCCAGCTCCCTGACATTCCTTGATTTTGATTGTCAGGGAGGGCAGTCACATCACGTTATGCCCTGTAGGCCAAGTGTCGGCTCAGGATGAAAGGCACAGTCGCACACGATTTTGCATGCCACGTTGTGCGAATACACAAGGTTACCATGGCATCATCATTGATGCTGGTTCCAGTGGCTCTAGGGCCTGGGTATTCGCCTGGCCGGCGCAGAAATGCGACTTTAATGCGCCGTTTCCTGCCACTGAGAACGCACTGGCCTGTCATGCGTACTCCTTGTGTCGCCTGCAGAAAGTCTTTGCTCGCATGATTTTTACATGCCTGCAAACTTAAACTTGTCAGAGAGCCCTGCAGCAGGTCACCATACCTTCTGTCGTCGCCTCCCAAACGGTCCATCGTGGGTTGGCAACGCTGGGCACGACCAAGCTCAATGAAACGCTGCAAGAGTTGTTGAGCTTCGCGGAAGGTGTTCTGAAAGATCGGGAGGCTCGTTGCTGCAAGGTTGAAGTAGTTCCGCAGCTGCACCGTGCAGCTGGAGCTAGGACTGATGCAACTAAAGGGAGCTACCATGCAGTTGGAAGGACGACTGGCCCGAATTCCCTGTGTACCTTCTTGCCACTGCTGGCTTTCGGCGGATGCGGCCCGATCAGCGCGAAGGCCTCTGTCATTGTTGTATGTGTTGAGCTTCAGCACGTTGGCGGTAGCTGTCGTGAAAAACCCCGGTGGTGCCGCTGACTGGACCCGTCGTTAGACTCGGATAGCAGTACACATCGAAAACTTGAGTGCTTACGAGGATCGGCCACTCGCACTACCATCCCTGCCCATGCCCAAGTCTAGTTGCATGAACTTGGGTATGCAGTAGACGAGCATTTATTTGCCGACTCTGGAATAGGAAGGCCATTGACACATCCAATAATTTAGACTGTTAATTTCTTTTGGAAGCACTCCAACGAATAAGTCGTCCGCATTCTTCTTCTGGCTATTTCTTGCTTGAGCGCTGTGACTGCCGGCGTTCCTCTGCCCCTTTGTTGCGAGGAATGCTGCAGACCGTCAGGGCGATCCTCTCAGAGAGCTCCTTCCATTCGGAGCCTGATTTCGTGAGGATACTTAGCGGAGAAGAGGAAGGCCAAGCCAGTAGACGAGTTTGAATGGCGTGGCGCGGTCCGCTTTCCTCCTGTGCAGGGGCGTTTGGCTGGCTGGCTGTGAATGCTGAGAAGGGACTCCTAGAGAGCCCTAGCTTCAAAAAGACTTGTTCCCTTCTGCATTCTGACCAGAGACTGTCAGGACCTAGCTATGTTCGGAATTCCGCAAATTCGACCTAGCGTCTTCGCACTAAGGGATGCAAGCAAAAAATCGTTGGGCGTCCTCGACCTCGGCGGGGCGTCCATGCAGATAACGTTCGTGCCAGAGGCGACAGGGGATTTGTCAAAGCTGGCCGGCCTTGCCCGATCCCAAAGGTGGCAAGAATCGAATGCCGGTTTGCAAGTTTGGAAGCAGTGAAGCCCGACCTCACCCATCCCAGCCCAAAGCACCCCCGAAAACTCTAGCAACCTCGCTATAACACGCATCCAGAATCAATGATGCATCTTTGTTTTTCTTTGACTGGGTGTGGTATTTGGTTTTGAATTTTGGGTTTGTTTGTTTCCAGGGCTTGTTTGTTTTCGCTTGATATTTGAAAGGTTGCTGAATAAATTCTTGTTCGTTTCTGGCAGGAGATTGACTGCAAGTGCGTTTGGTTTCTTTCTGCCATCTTGTGACAGCCCATCTGGCCACCCAAATACAAATTCGAAGCAGTTTTCGCACGAGATGAGTGACATACCTGAGTAGAACTGCAAAGATCTTAACATAATGTTATGCATTCACACGGGCCAGCCTTCTCTCAGGAGATACAGTAGGTTTGTGATATGGCGGACTGAGCTCTTGCTGTTTGTGTTAGTGACCTGTGAGAACTTGTCACGCATGTTGCATTGCAGCTGATACGATTGCCTAAGAACAAAGTGCCCGGGTCGAATAGCTGGATGTTCTTTCGTCCAGGACGACAGGTCAGTGCTACAGCACTCCTTCCCAGTGCATCTGCAGGCAGCGGGGACAGGCAGTTCAAAGTCCTGACAATCACATGAGTGCTGGCTAGTTCAAACTCAGTTTGTCGGCATTTTGCAGCGCAAGAGTTGCAAGTTTCGAGTCGTAGCGGAAGCTATGGCAGGGGCGACAGAGCTACCTGTACTCTGCCTCCTACCTTCAGTTTGGATTGCGGGAAGCACAGCAGCTTGTCGACTTCTGGAGCTCGGGTTGGTGCACCGTTCAAAGTTTAGAGTGAGCTGCACAGACGGCAACAAGTGTCGGAGAAATCCACAAGTTGCAGTGCAAGGTCTGCTTCAGTTCATGCGCATAACCCGGGTCACTTGAAACTGCTGTGGGTGTGGTGTGTTCCAACGGTCCACAAGAAGGCAAAGAGGGCCAGTAAGCCTTCCCCTCACCGGCCCATAAATGGCTCCAGTTGGGCTCGAAGTCGTAGTTCTGAACCTCTTGCGAATTGGCAAGTGCAGGTCAGCATATCATGACACGGAGGCTTGGCTGTAGGCTTTGAGCACATCAGAACAGCTTTTGAATGTTTGTGCATGTGCCACAGATCCGTTCAAGAAAAAAGATCCTTACTTTCGTCCGTCCACGCGCTAAGCGTGTGCTGGTGTTCACTTCGTTGAGCTGCGCATTTGTTTAACACATGGCCTTGCCGACCGCTGCATTCCTGAGCAGTGCAAAGATGCGCGTGAGGCAACGTGCCCCTCTCTTTTGCTCACGCAGATCTTCCAGATGACTTTGCGGGGGCAGCTACGGCGGCTACAGCCCGTGGTGGGCGTCGCTCGCAGGAACCTTCGAAACTGAGTTTGCAACGAAGATTGAGGCACAACGATCAACCACATCAGGATCACAGGCGCAAGAAGTGTCATGCAATCGGGCAAGCGATTGAACTGGTGCGACTGACAGAGCTTGTGAAAACGTGCTTTTGGCTTCGCGACAACCATGCTGAATGCGGACGCTATGGACAGCCCGGCCTGGCGACAGCTCTCGGAAACGATTCGGGGACTGGACGATTTCTCGCTTAAGGAGCTGTGGCGACAATTTCAGTTCTTTGTAAGCACTACATCAACGCGATGCACTGTCGTCTGGGTGCGAGATCTAATGGGCAAGGACGACAATGCAGGTCCAGATGCTTCCGGGCCAGCCTTCAAAATGCGTGGCCGCAAGCAAGCGCAGCTTCTGGTTTGTGACGGAGGGCAACGATGTCGATGACTTGAGGAGGCTTTAAGACAAAGAAAGCCCAATGCCCTCGCAGAGATGCCAGCGCCATGCAAATTTTCAGGCGAGTTGCTGGAGAGTGGAGACCATTTAAATATCAGTCAACCCCCTTGGGGAAGGATACCACTGAGAACGATTGCTCTGCATTGTTGCCACCTGCGAAGGAAGCATTTGCTTTCCTTCGCAGGTGGCAAAACCAGACTGGTGCAGCGGTCACTGGCTGAGGAGCTTGCACGTCCAGTTTCAAGAGGCTCGTCTTTTGGGTTTTGGAGACAGTTTCCAAACCAGCATGGCGGCGATGGCGTCGACGAACCAAGCTCCATTGATGTGGCTACGCTACGACCGAGGCCCACCGAGGACATGGGAGCTGATTCGAGGTGCTGCTGCTCGGCCTGGAGCTGTCACTCTTGCCGCGGGACTTGCTCTCAGATTTTTCGGCGCAGGTTCCTTGCGGTGCGACCTAGTCAGCGAAGTGGGCGGGAAAAACAGGTTGCCCATTCAGCGCACATGTCTGAGGAACCAGATGCCGTGCATGATCCACCCTCGCCCAGCAAGCAAGACCATGTCAAACTTCTGTGGATGCAAGGGCTCTCAATCAAGCCGTTTTGGATCTTTATATTCAGTGTCCTCCAGCACGCAGCAAGCATCATTTGTAGCGAAGGCGACTGCTACAGCGGCAGCTCATCGCGCGAGCATTGGTGGCTGAGACAACCTCGACGCTGGGCTCATGCACTAAGGCCTAAGTAATCCTAAGTGCCCCGGGCCACGAGACACATCTAGACTCTAGACACTACTGGGTCCAAGGGTCAAGTCGCATCGAGTTGTGTTTAGTCGCATCGATCAAGCGTGCAAGAGGGGATTCCGCTAAAACGCAATGATGTCACGTGTGTGTGTGTGTGTCTCGAAGGTCTACATGGGGAATGGCTGGTTTTGATATGTTGTACTGCCACTTGTGTGTCGGGTTGGTGCTTGCGAAATCCAGCGTCTACATGGGGAATGGCTGGCTTTGATGTGCCGTGATACGACTGGTCTGTCTCGAACGGGTGCTTGTGGAATCGCATCGATCCAGCGGGCAAGAGGGGATTCCGCTACTTAAAACGCAATGATGCCATGTACGTGTGTCCCGAACGAGTGCTTGTGATGCCAATGATGTGTGTCTTGAGCCGCCGTTGTTGATGTGACGAAACAAGGTGGTGTGAGCGCAAAATAGTCACGAAAACCTGCGACACGCGGCCCTTTCATTCATTTCGTTGTATTTTTGACACCCACAACCCGGGCCATGTATGCACATGGCGTTTCGCTATTGCTGATGTGACGAAACGAGGCGATGTGAGTGCGACATAGGCACGAATACCTGCGGCACGCGGACAGTTCACTCGTTTCGTTACATGTGTTGAAACCCGCCTCCGGGCGGAGTGCACATGGGGCTTAGCTATTTCTGATGTGACGAAACGAGGTGATGTGACTGCAACATAGGCACGAAAACCTGCGCCATGTGGCCTTCTCATCCATGTCGTTACATGTGTTGAAACCCACATCCGGACCGTGTGCCCATACGGTTTCGATATTTGTGATGTGACTAAACGCGGGTGATGCGACTAAACGCGGATCGGAGCGTGACAAGGGGGATGTTGTGACAAAAACGCGCCCTGACGCGCGATTTACCCCACCACTCGTACACGTGGGCGCACAAAATCTTGCATATTGCAGCAAGTCAAAGTCCCGCACTCGCGATTTAACTCGGCCAGTACCCTGGCAAGCAACAGATGCCAACGGGAAAAGGTTCTGCATCACAAGCTATACAGGCGCAGGGCCAAAAACAGGTGCAAGATTTCGTCCATCTATCGGATGTCTCGCGTCCTCTAGTGACCAGTGGTGGCCTTTGCGGGGTGTCTGGTCACTGTAGCGGCACTTGATACGACAAGAAAGGGCAAAAAAAACTCGGTGCAGTCGAGGTTAACATGGGATGAGTGCCGCCAATCCACACCGTTGGGGAAGTGAAGCGGGGTGGATAACCAATCGACGGTCAGTATTGATGTCGGCATCGAGCCCGAGGGCTTTGGGAGGTGAGTGGACGTTTTGGGTCGGCCAGGAACCCTCCCACCGTGCAGACTCACATCGTGGATTCTCCTGCGAAACCATGATGCAACACTCATGCAACACTGTCAAACTGTGTCAAAAACCGTACAACTGTGGATCTCTGATAAACACGTCCGTCTAATGAACACCTGCCGAAGCTAGACTCCAAAAGCCATGGGTGGATGAAAATTTGCACTGCTTTTGAAACTTGCGTCTGGTCTAGTCAAATCCCCGCACCGCCGTCTCAATATTGATACGGGGAAGTCTTCGCCGAACGACCACAATCTTGCGGCGTCCGGCATGCAGCACATGCCCATGTAAAAAGGGTTCCTCGTCGCCAGCGTCAGAAGTGTCGACTGTAGGAGCCGGTGCAAGATTTCGTCCATCCACCGGCCCACCGCACAATCTCGACGACAACAGTTTTTCTATAAAGCAATACTACATGGGGAATGGCTGGTTTTGATTTGCTGTTTGCTGCGATGCCACTTATGTGTTTCTCGTGCGGATGCTTACGAAATCGCGCGTCATGGCTGGGAGCACTGCGATGCCACCGATGCGTTTCTGGGTTGGCAACGGGAGGCGCCGCTTACGCACTGCTTACGCGCAGAATGGAGTGGCATGGGGAGGGGTTGGTTTAGAGGTGCTGTGATGCCACCGATGTTTGTCATCAGTCAGTGTGTGCGTGTGTGTCTACTTTAGCTGGTTCTGCTGCGTTATGATTCTACCGACGTGTGTCTTGCGAGGGTGTTTCTGAAATCGGGCGTCTACAGCGGGAATGGCTCGGTTACCGTGTGTTTTTGTGTAGTTGATGCAGCCTCGCTGACGCGGCGTTTACATGGGGAAAGCCATGTTGATGTGACCATGATGTGACCCCCTCGCATCGCGCGTGCTTCCCCTTATGTGACTTAGCTCTGCTTCTGCAGCTACGACAGTGCGATGGGACCTTTTGGGTCTCTGGCTCGGAGAGCAAAGCCTGGAGCTGAGGATCCTGGAGCACCCGTGTATGCCAAGGCCAGTGATCCTCAGAACCTCAATTAAGTCGGCTTGTTTAACGGAAAAGACGAGCACAAAAACGATGGACCTCCAGACAGCCTTCATCTTCCACAAGTCGTGCATCCTTGCTCCTGTGCGCCTTTCCTTTGGTGCCATGATGGTGAGCCTAGCAGTTTGCTTATGATGTGCTAGCACTCCCACGATTCCGGCCCAGAAAACTCAAAGACTTGGTTGTGTGCTACACATGTTAAGACGAAACGGCTTCCTTACAACTCCCTGACGGAATGCACACGTGGTTTGGAGAAGTTGGCGTCAGGGGAAGCAACATTTCCGAGCTGCTGATTGGCGCTGCTTGTCAGAGAGATAGCTGCATGGGCCATTTTTAGCTGGTATTTGGATACTGACCGAATGCAGTGGGCAGCATGCCTCCGTGCAGGCTCATAGGTTGTTAGAAGTTCTCGGCCTGTGCCGGTCACACGTACGTGTGTGTGTGTGTGAGTGCGTGTGCGTGTGCGTGTGCGTGGGTGCGTGCGCGTGCGCGCTCTTCTAGTGAGGAAGAGCCGGAAGAGCACGGCAATCTCAGCAGCAACAGCTCTGAGCATGGTGCTTCCCCGCTGCGAGCGACATGGTACGGCAAGGCCGGGGTTCCACCGAGGGAAGCTGCTTCAGGTTGGGTTTGCTTCGACAGTTCTGAGCTTCACGTGCCCGCTTCTCCGCCCCCCAGCCATATGCCTTGTAGAAGTCCACCGAAGCTGGTATCGCGACATCGTCTTCCTCCTTCTAGGCACGCTTATGTTGCATGCGGTCTTCCCAGCAGCAGACAGCAACAGCCAGTGGGTGGAAATTTTGAGGCACCATCCCCGCCTCTGCTGGCAGGGACTCTACGAAGACTGCGCAGAGAAAATCGCAGAGCTGTTCGACAAGAATGCTCCATGCTATTTGCCACATTGCACCTTCAATGGCCGATACCAGCCGACTTTAGGCAGCTTGGACGGTTTTGGGAGATCGGTAGCGGGACTTGACGTTGAAGTTGTCAAAGAGCTTAACAAGACAAACCCAAAGCATTACGTGGAGCTGTCGGTCCGCTTGTCGCAGTTCACGAACCTCTCGAAGGCCAAGGTGAGGGATGCAAGTGTGTAGCAACGCATGAGAACAGAGCAGTCACGAGTGGCGGTTTGTCCTGGGAGCTTGAGAACGGGCCCAGGGACCTGCGTATAGTTCAGCGCATAGCGGCTCAAGTCGAAACGTTCCTTGCGTCTGTAAGTCATTGTTTTCCTTCACGTGGAAGATGCGCTGTGCATTCAAGAGCAGCGGAGCTTCTGCCTGAGTGCATCAGGCAGCCGGCGCTTCTTGGCCTTCTCGGCCTTTAGCTGGGTTGTGGAAGCTTCTCGAAGGAATACTTCGAGCAGTGTGGAGAAACCGAAAGCCGCTGCCTTAGCCGAGGCTTTGGGCCTCCCGGCTGAAGCCACGGCCTTGGAGGACATCGAGACTGCGGCCAGGCAGGGTCGCTTTGGCAGGGCTTCCAGTTGTCAGCATAGCTTTTCGTGGTACTACTTCCGATATCTTCCGATAGCAACTATTGGAAGCATTGTTCGGTGCGGTGCGGCACACCTGCAGACCCTACGCCCTAGAGCCTTTGCCCTCCTAACCCGAAAGCATCCCAACATGGGTGTATGATGGTGTATGTCAAGGGCGGAGGGGTGTATGCATGCAATCGGAGTGTAGGGCTGCTGCGTGTGGGGAGCTTGGGGGCCCAGGGGTTGCGGGGACCTCTTAGGGCTCAGTTATCTCATGCGGCAAGACTGCATCGATGAGATGTTACCACACGCAAAAAAGAGATTTGCAGGTACGTTTGCAAGATGGACTGGGCTATGCTGCATGAACGGTGGCAACGCCTCGATGAACAGGTGTGCCCGCAGCCAGTTCTGTCCAAGATCTAGGCAGGAGTTTGTGAAGTTGTAGCATGAGATAATCTGAACTCCGGTCGAAACCTGCTTTGTCTGATGCTTGGTGCTTGTCGCTGCCAAGCACTGCATCAACATTCTCATGCTGCTGCAGCCATGTGTCGGATGCCTTGCCAGGCCTTGCAATCCTTCTGCTTTTCTGCAACGTATGTGGTAGTGCTTTGGATGGCAGTCAGCAAGACGATCATGCTTGTGAGAGTTTCCAAGAAACGTCCACAACTCCGCCAACTGAAGATGTTATTGCCACACAATTCCAGCATGGTCTGAACTCTTCGATACATGACACTTGGAAGGAATTTCTCCATTCTGCAGGTCATCGGGTTTTGCAAGGTCAAGGCAGGAAAAGAACCAGAGCCATCTCAGGTGCTGCTGCATCATGGCCTGGGCTTTGACAAGATGCTTGGCTAAACTCATCTAAGGGAAGAGGCGTAGATTTTGGAAAGTCAAAATGTGGAACCCACAGACAGGTCAGAGGCATTATCGTAGCCGTGGCTGCAGCACCTTCGCAGTTATGTTTCAGATGAGCGCCAGAAACAGTGCATTTGGCTCCAGCTGGCCGATAAGCGCGGAGATCGCCTCGGTGTTGCTTCCACTGTTGCGAGGCTTTTCCGAGTTGTTGTTGCAGCCACAAGATATGACCGAGTGTGTCTCCCTCGTGAAATCATTGACTGAAGTAGGCCAGAGACCACACAAGCAACGCCAACGACACCAACTTCCCTTCCCTCCTCATGAAAAACCGCATTTGCACCAGGACCATTAGAAGTGTATGCAGTCTGCAAGCTGTGGAAAGCTCGCACTTTGGGTTTCGGCTTTTGGGGTTGGGCTGCAACTTTCAGGCTTGGCTTCCTTGCAAGCTTGGCATGCTGCGCAACATGGACAACAGCAGACTTGCAAAACGTTGGCTCACAATTAGATTGCAGCTGGAGGGGAGGGTCTTCGACTTTTCCGGCAGTAGATGAACCTTCGGCCCTCTGGATGTAGGCCTAAGAGCTCTAAGTGCCCCATGGTCTTGCTCTGTCCAATCCAGGAAGAGTCACCAGATTCTCTTCACTGGGGCGCAGGATCGAGGTGCCAACGCCACTGTTCCGTTGGACCTTGCTGGAAGTCGGTGATTCGGCGGCTCCGCACGCGGGCTGTGTACTCGTCGATCCTGTCGATCCGCCTTGCGAAGAGCACCCGAGTTAAACCCCATCCCCGTTTTGTATGAAAGGTTTCCAGAAGAGCACCCGCAGGCAACATCAGCTGGGCACGGGGAGCCATCATCTGGGAGGTCAACAACCGCCGCCGGGCTTCTGTTAGGAGAGTCGATTCGTAACCCGCTTCTAAGTCTTTCAGCATTCTTTGCTCCAACCTGAGGCTTTAGCCATCATCAGCCACTTTGCAAGAGGGACTTTCCGGAGATCACAAGCTTTGCTGACAAAGGCATGTGTGAAAGAAAATAATACTGCCCCTGGGCGTGGCTCATGGATCCCCTCCATGAAGCAGGGCTGGGCCAAGCATCTTGAGTCGGATTTCTGGCATGCACAACTTCAGCACCTGCGAACCGTTGTCCTGGATTGAACGGAAGCTGTGCGCACGTCGTTGTTTGCAGGCACATCGTCTGCACGCAAAGAACAATTTTGGTTGACCTTGTCCTACCCTGTGAGTATCATCCAATGGCTCATTGAAACTTGCTCAGGGCAGACGTTAAGTAAAGCCCCTCACAGATCGGGCGCCATACAGTAACGAATTTGCATTGCAAGAAGTCGCAGCAGATAGGCCATGCAGCAGCGCACGTGCGCCTGAATTGGTTTTAGGAAAATGGACGCGGCTTGATCCACAGGGAGCAAGCCGCAGGGGCTTCCGGTGCATGAGGCGGACTGCAGCCAACTGAAGTGCCGGAACAAGATCTCACATGCATCTTACGCAGTCTGATGTCGTCCACCTCGGATACTTGGAGGCTGATTCCAAGCATGCCCAATTCGCCGAAGAGGGCCCCTCAATGGGAGCACCAACACAGATCCGTTTTGCTGCGCGAAACAGCTTCGAGGAAAAAGTCGAAGGCGTCAAGACACATCCGCTGGGACTGCGATGGTTTGGTTCTGCTTCCGACTCTGGTTCCGGGTTTCACTACTTCGGCAAGGTACTCTGAACATGAATGAATTGCAACCACAGCAGTAAGAAAGGGGTTGCATGCACTGGAAGCACGGAAGACGACGTCAGGCAGCAGGCGCGCGAGCTGTGGCAGCCATGGCCGCCATGCAAAAGGGTCCGGAGCAACATTGACCTCGCTGGCAATTGGGATGTAGCAATGGCTACTACAACTGAGGCGCCGCGCCAAAGCGTCGCGCTGCCCATCGTCGAGCCGCGCGAATTCAGGACACAGGCCGGGAGATTTGTGATGATGCCTTTGTATTATAACACCTGGAATGGCCGAATTGCAGGTGACACTGGCAAAGCCCATGCCAGCCACAGCCAGGCTTTGTCGTGCATGTGTTTTGTTGATGATGCGGCTGCAGCAAGGCCGATTCGCGGCACAGCAAATGCTTGAGAAGCTTTCCAATTGCAGGAGAGTGAAAACCAAGAAGTGAACCAGCCAAAGCAGCCAGATGAGAGGAGAATGGGCAGCATCATTTGTGTTTTCAGAGTTCTTAACCCGGTATTCGTGTTGGTGTCCACACTTTCACACCGTGTGGCACAGGAAAGATCGAAGCCAAAGTTGTGGGAGGCATTCATTGCTTCGAGTGATGAAATGTTCTTCCGAGCATAAGGTGACTTGTGAGTGCCATATTGAGGTGGGGGGGGGGGCAGGGCGGTCGCAAAAAAGCTGCCAGGTCTTCCGGCAAGAAGCGGGTCGCTTCTCGGTCGTAGCATCCTTAGCTTTGCGAAAACCTACTTCAACTCTGTGCAAATCAGCCTGCATGCCGCAGGCCAAGCCAACGCAGCAAAACCGAAGAGGTTAGCAGCCACAGCCGCAAGAGTCGCAAAAGCGACACTTCTCCCAAAAAAGAAGATTCGAACGACGAGGCTTGGCAATATATTGTTGTGCACTTTGCGGCGTATGCGAGTTCAACACTGTATACATCGTACACAGACATGTTGCAGGCGGAGGAAGAAGCTAGCAAGGCATCCAGTTTGCAGCTCAGCCAGAGGCAAACGATCGTCAAACACGCGCTGTGGAGAATTTATTGGTTTGATACCGCCCAGGAAAGAAGCGCAAAAAAGATAAAAAGAGACACAAGTCTTCAACCAAAGCAGCGGTGGGCTTAGTCCAACGCAAATTGCATCGTGCAGGATGCGTCGATAGACACTCAGTAGTTACAGTATCGGATGCCGTCATGCAAGGCCAAGAAGCCACCAGCTGGTTTTTCAGGTTGGTGGCAGCAGCGACTGGGCATTGAAATTGCCAGACTGTCAGTATTCCATCCACCCAAGCAAAAGGACGAGCCGCGTCTTTACTTTAACAGTCTACAAACATAGAAATGTATAAATATTGTATGCACGTATGCATCTCAGTGGGCATGTGAAACGAACAGGTGATATGTTTATGTATATATGTATATACCTGGATATTTACATACATACATACATACATACATACATACATACACATGACATTGGAAATGTCCATTTACCATGCTTGTGCGTCACAGAAGTGCTATTTTTGAGTTGCAGCAGCCATCTTCAGCATACTGTAATGGTGCACCATGGGTGGGCCTTAGGCAAGTTTTGCTTCAGCAGCAGTGGGCTGCCTACTTTGCGAAACAGCGCGGGCTGCCTGCAGCCCAGACTTTTTGAAGTCATTGCTTTTGCTCGTCCCTTGGTCTGCGCACGATAGACTGCAGGCACACGCAGCAGGCACCCAATGCAGTGCCAAATGGCGCATATGGGGCACCGTCCACAGGACGGCCTGCAGCCCCTGCGCCACCACCACCACCACCGCCAGCTGCAACACCCCCATCTACAACGGTCCCAGCAGTTCCAGAGCCTGCCTCACCCGAACGCCGCTCGCGCTGCCAGCTCAGAGTTCTGCAAGATAAGAACTGAGACAGCGTGACTTGCATTTGCAGTGATTTGATAGCTGGTCATTGTGCACACTTGCTGCGCCTTCAGCGAGCTGCCCGAAACTGTTACTGCTATGAATTCACAGAGGTAGCCGCAGCTGCAGCGTGGAAGCGGAGCAGATGGCAGTGGAGGCATGGGGTGCAGTTCGTTTGAGGCAGTGATGTTTCGTAAATCGCCAGGGTTGCTTTGCACAAGCACACAGGTTTGCTTGTGGCCTGGGCCAGGACCCCTACCTCGTCTTTGATGAAACGGAGCCAGATGCAGAGCCGGACACCCCCGCTCCAGCACCCACCGCTCACACTGAAGGTCTCACTGCGTCCACAGCTTCCCCAGCACCTGCACCTGCGACACTTTCACCTCCAATTCCCCCCCCACCGCCGCCTCCAGCTCCACCACCGCCAAACTCCATTTTCGACACAGCAATGCAATCAGATTTCCGGCAGCAATACCTGTTTCTCAGAAAGCTGAAACGGATTGTCATAAGCAAATGTGTTGTTGATGTTCCCGCTTGCGGCCTAAGGAGATGGAAGCCGTGCGCCGGGCAAGAGCCCTGAAGCGACACGACCGGGATGCCGACGGCGCCGCGGCACAGGCAAGCTAAATGCAAGAATCACAAACTTTGCCAGAGTTCGCACAGCAACAAACATCGCTTCGTTGCAACAGTCCCTGTGCAGGCCATGGCTATAGAAGCCGCAGCCGCTGCCATCGCCAACGGCGGCACGTTTCCTGCGACAGGCCTAGGGCCTCGGAAGTCTAGGATGACACGGACTGAGGTTTGAGCTAAGAAGCTAAGACACCAAGACGCCAAACTACGTGACGAGCTCAAGCGGCCAGGCTTTCCAGCTCCCATGGAGAGCCACTTTCAATCTGTGGTTGAGCCTCAGGTCGCGGGCTGAGAGTTGCAGGGAGGGTTTCTTGACATTTGCACTGTCACCAGCGATTACCGTTACTGAGGCCTTCACCATGATACCACCTGCGCCATCAGCCGCAGCACCAGAACGACGGATCCCACCCCTGCCTCAAATCCTGCAGCCACAGCAGCTCTTGCCACCTTCACCCAACGCCGGCCCCTAAAACACGTCCTCTTGAGAGATTCGTTTCAAAAGGGTACGCGACGAAATGGGACCAGCGCCTTGTGAGGTCGACAGGAGCGAAGCCAGCCGCCGGCTTACTCTGCGACGAGCCGCCTTAAGACTTAAAAAGTTGAAGCGACACCGGTGCATCTTTTGATGACATTCCATGAAGGTCGGTTTGCAAATGCAGACAGTGCTGGTGGCGGTGGTGGTGGTGGCGTTCATCCCAAATCCGTATTTACACAAGGCCGGCTTTGCAGTGATGAGAACAGAAATGACTCGATGTTATTTTCTCTTATTTTGACCCGGAATCTTGTAAGCTGCAGTGCGATGACCAGGTTTCCAGCAGATGATCAACGGGCCGACACCAGCAGGGTGCCAAGCACTGTTTCGGCTGACGAGTCGAGTTGCTGTCTTGCTTCGATCCGCTGACATCGCCTGGCGACCGAGGCAGTGACACAGCTCCCACCGCCACCTCAGCCTCCACCCCCACCGCAGCCTCCACCTCCACCTCGGCCTCCACAGCTACTTTTCGCACCTCCGGCATTCCAGGCAGCTACTCACCCCCCGAATCTGCAAGTAAAGGAACCAACGCTCCCGCCTCCTTCCGTGTTGCGTTTGAGACAAAAGCTGCAGCAGCCACGGCCAAAACAGCAAGCCCAGCCAGAAGAAGCCTGGGGTGCGGATGAGTGGGATGGCCAAGATCACACCCAAGACACCTGGCAAGCTCAACAAACCGAGCCAGCCGAAGCAGACGGGGGTCCACACCAGGACTCATGGCAAGCACAGCAACTCTCGCCAGAAGAAGATTACACCCAGGACTCATGGTACGAGGAGCCAGAAACTCAAGCCCAACCGGAAGAGGACATGGCTCCGGACCATGTGGAAGATCAACAGGACTCTCAGGAGGCATGGGACGATCAACTCGCCACAGAGGACCCGAAGGACAATGCGAAGCCATGGCAGGATGAGACCTGGTCAGAATGGCAAAACGAGGAATGGCGGGATAGCTGGCAACGAAGAAAGCAAAAGTGGCGAGACAAGCCCTGGCGAGACAATCGCGCGTGGTCAGATGAAGGGCAGTGGCCAGAGCAGCCCGACGAGCAGGATGCAGGACCTAAGCAGTCTGCGCAAAATGTTTGATCCTCAGACTTTCGTCGCGTTGGCCTCTAAGACTCTAAGGCGTGTCGGTCGTTTGCTTTGTTGGCGATTTCAGAAACTTAGGCCCGCAAAGACATCGGCACCAAGCTTAGTATACATGGGCAAGTCGTGGAGAGTTATTGTTTGTGTGCGTGCACGGCGAGCTGTAAGAATAAAGTATTGAGCAAAGAGTTTGAGGAACGTAGCTGAGTCAGACCTTCGCAACTGCAAACTGTTGGGCATCAGAGCTGTGACGGGGAAGGCAGCCTGGCACTGCGGCTTTACGAGCGCTTGAAGAACGGTGAGGCGCATGATTTGAATGTCTCGGTATCAAATGCGGCTTCTGCAGTTATCCTGCGAGGACCTGCGGCCCAGCCAGAGAGAAGCCACAGAGCTTCCAGCAGCAATCCGATCTTCCAACTCGAAGCCGAACCTCTGGGTTCATGCGCCTGTTCCACCCGCGAAAATGCCCCCGCCTCCGCCACCCTGCAGAGCATTCCCTGCAGGAGCGGAGGCTCGGGCCACACCTACCGCAAAGTCTATGCCCCGAAACCACCCATCAAAAAATGCCACCGCTCCAGACACAACCCTTGCTCCACGGAAACTCTCACCCTCACCAGACACGACGTTCGATTTCATTGAGGCGTCCGTTGTTCCCGAGACACCAGCACCTGCAACCCACTCGTTGCCTCAGAGAGCGATGCGTGGCATTGATACCACCGAGGCCCGGCAAGCAATGGCAAGCATGGCCCTTGACTGTAGAGATGCAAAGTGAAGTTTGGTGAGTGCAGGTCGAGCCCGGCGCTGGGCTCCAGGAAGAGTCAGAGGAGGTCGGACTTGAAGCGCCACATCGTGGAATGGTTTGATTGTGCTCTGAATTTCTCACGGGCTGACAAAACATTCAACGACAGGCGCATTTCCAGCGAGCAGACCTTGCGGCAAGGTGCTCAGGACCGCACGTAGTACAACTGCGTACTAACACCAGCCCGGCAGTGGCTCGGTGGGAATGAGCACCTCAAGCCTGGTGCGTGTTGACTTAGACGACTTGCAGATTTCCAGCGCTGAACCTTTATCGTTTGAAGGTTCCTCTTGAGAAGCGAGCCAGGTATGGCTGGCTCAGAGTCTCAATGCGTGGTGCTGATGGGTCTTGCCATGCTTTTCTCGCCGTCCAAGACACCTGCCACATGTTCATCTGTGCTACTCGAAGATATTGGCCAAGTCTTCCTGACTCGCAGTCCGTCGACGACAGAATCTCACTTGTCATGTGCACGATGTGTGTGGCCAACTGTGCTTAAGCATGCCTTTGAGCATTGTCTTTGCGGCTTTGTTCCAGGTGTCGCACATTGGCAAAGGATGACAGAACATGCATGTATTATCTGAGTGCCGGTGATGTGCCTCAGTTCGCTCTAGAATTACCCTGAGCCATTGGTCACTGCCAAGCCGAATCTTATCGGCGCATTGACCTGTCCTGCTCATGTTTCTGAAGTGGGTATTCTTTGGTTCAGCTGGCTCGCGACACAAAGGTATTCATGGTTGCCGTGTTTTTACTTCCCGTCTAGCGATCCGTGGCTGCACATGACTTTGACGATTGAAATCGATTGAATCCCACCAGTCCTGCGCAGGCTGCTTGCGGCGTGTTTGAGCATGCATGTTCTTTGCAAGGTTTCCGGATGTCACGCATTGGCAAGGATGACAGAATATGAATGTATTAGCTGAGTGCCGGTGATGTGCCTCAGTTCGCTCTAGAATTACCCTGAGCCAGTGACCACTGCCGAAACAGGGATGTGTTGTAACCTTGAGCAAGCTTGGTTGATGTTGCCTTGGCCTGGCCTGCTAATGTTTCTGAAGTGTAAATGCTTCGATACACTTCGCTCGCTGTGCGCTGAAGATGTTTGCAAAGTCCTTGTGACATCTTGACTTGCTTTCCGTCGACCATGAAATCGCACTCGTCGCGCACACTTTGTGGCCGCCAAATGTGCCTCAGCATACTGAGCATTTTCTTGGCGGTTTTGTTCCAGGCATCGCACATTGGCAAAGGATGACAGAACATGCATGTATTAGCTGAGTGACGGTGATGTGCCTCAGTTCGCTCTAGAATTACCCTGAGCCATTGGTGCCAAGCTGAAACAGAGACTGCCTTGAACCTTCAGCCAGCGCAGTACATGTCGCATTGGCCTGGCCTGCTAATGTTTCTGAAGTGTAAATGCTTCGGTACACTTCGCTCGCTGTGCGCTGAAGATGTTTGCAAAGACTTCTTGACTTGCTGTCCGTCGACGATGAAATCTCACTCGTCGTACACACTTTGTGGCCGCCAAACGTGCCTGAGCATTTTCTTGGCGGTTTAGTTCCAGGCATCGCACATTGGCAAAGGATGACAGAACATGCATGTATTAGCTGAGTGCCTATGATGTGCCTCATGGTCACTGCCAAGCCGAAACAGGGACTTGCTTGAACCTTCAGCAAGCACAGTAAATGTCGCATTGGCCCGGCCTGCTCATGTTTCTGAAGTGCAAATGCTTCGGTTCAGCTGGCTCGCGAGCACTCTTCTTTCTTGACCACATTCCGTGGATGCACACGACATCGACGATGGAACTGTCATGCATACTGCGAGTACGGCGACATGTGTTTGAGCCTGCCTTGAGCAGTTTCTTTGTGGTTTGTTTCGGGTGTGGCAAAGGATGACAGAACATGCATGTATTAGCTGAGTGCCGGTGATGTACCTCAGTTCGCTCTAGAATTACCCTGAGCCTACACCTGGCAGAGGAAGAGTGTGCAGTTTCGAAAAGTTCCTCTCATGATGCACTGCTGGGTGCGTGGCACAGGCTCCGATTGTGTTGCGACATGCATGAGGCGTGTGTTCATGCGATGTTGGCACCTGGATGCTGCGGCATCGGTGATGATTTCGTGTGCTTAGCGGCTTAGCGCACGTTCCCGACCGATTGCTCGGACGTGCTCGTCTCGTCGCAGCGCAGCGAAGCTTTTAGTTCACGACTTGCCAGCTGCCTCACAGCTCGCGTAGACTTTACCAGATTAGCGGAAGACCAGCTTTTCGACCACAGCAAGTATCATCGGAGTTTTACTGGGCTGCATTCTGCAATCCGTGTATGATTCCAGCACGAAGTAGCTTGCATTTCAGGTCGGAGAGCTTCCAGATGACAATCCTGAGCTGTGGCCCGTCGAGTAATGACGCAGTTGCGCAGCAGCCTCAATTTTCCATAAGTATGTGCGGCATGGAGGATAGCAATTTCGCAAGAACATTATGTAGGAGTCGAGGCCCGTACAACTTGCTTCAGACTCGAGGCTTGTTGACCGTTGAACGGTTGCCAAAACCATGGCATCGCAGTCCAACACCCTTTTGGTGCGGTGTTGCCCATCTCGACTGAAGCCAGTCCGTGCGTTCGAGACACGGCATGGAGTGTGTCGAAGAAGTTGGTACAGAATCCCCTCCAGACACGTATGTTAAGACAGACCACTTGCGATTCCGGTCTACTGAAGCTTGGTCAGCATGTTTAGCTGAATTGCAACAGCTGGCTCGAACAGAAGTGCCCTGGCGAAAAAGAAGCCAGCCAGCTCCAAATTCTGAGGACAAAGAAATTGGCATTCAGACGAGTGCTTTCCAGGCTCCAACTCTTAACCCGGTCCTGCCCACAATGTGCTAGTTTTGCCCATGTCCCATGGCTCTGAAGTCGCGGCAACTTTACCGCCGACAGCGCAGCTCCGCTGCTGTTTGCGCGCGGAGGCACCGCTTCAAAGCCAGCAACAGCCTCTTTCAAGCTCCGCAAAGGAATGGTATTTATGCCATCCATAGTGCGCAGCGAAGACACTAAGCACTAACCCAAAATGCTACGGCTCAAGGCTTAAGGCACCAAACACTAGAGATTCAGAAAGACTGTTGTGAGGGCCCCGTTTGATAGCATTTGTTTGCTCTACGTATTAAGGGTTCATGGTATGGACTCTTAAACTATTACACCCTTTCTGTCTAGTGAGTCTAATACAACGTTCTTTTTGTGCCATGCGCAATACATCCCGATTGCTTGGTTTGCCCTGGTACGAACTCCACCGGTGTGTTTCTGTCCCCTCCCTAGTTTTAATGGTTGTGGCAAACACAGCCATACTGCAGTTGCGGACTTGAGGTTTTTGAGTTCAGGGGTTCTAGTTTAGGGTTCGATGGCTTATTGGAGCGTTCCATGAACGCTTTTCCCAACGTGAGATAAACTTTAGCCTTTCCTTTCACGAAGTTTACATAGAATTCTCAGTTTGCATTCCCGGCATCCCCCCGACAACTCCGAAGATTCCCTTGCGCCGCCGCCAACTAAACTTTTGAATACACGGAAGGCACTGCTGTGCCATTAAACTGGCGATTTGTCCAATTGTTGGTTCCATATTCCAGCCTCGCTTGCACTGCGGCATTAGAAGCGGTGCGAAGACGTCGTCAGTTTTCAGTGTGCTTGTGTTTGTCGCAGGGTCTCGTAGTGTTTGCAGCTATTGTCATGTCACAGCAGGTTTTTTTGACGACTCGCGAATGAGTCTGTCGTTTCATCCAGCTTTGTCGGAGTGTGAGGAAAAGCTCAAAAGCCCTTGGAAGCCGTAAACTTTGCTTTTCGAGCCACCCGAGCCCCATGACACCAGGGCTTCTCGGCGCTGGATCTCCGATGTGGTCTTTTCGGCCTGGGGGCTCAACTTGGCGCGAAGATGGTATCCATGTTCATGGAAGAGTACCAGGAACCAGTATCGGTAGAGTAGTACTGGTGGCACGACATAGGACTGATTCTGGCCCGAGCTCAGGCGGGGCTTTGCTATACTCTTGATAGTGGTTGGTGATGGAAACTAAGCAAGGAGTGGGGCGATAGCCATGGTGCTGGTGATGATGATATTGCTGGTCCAGGTCTGATTGTTTGGGAGAGCTCCCTGATGCTACTCGCCCAACCGGATCACTGTAGCTCAAACGGTCAGAAGGGATTGATAGAGTCCGAGAATCACGGAGGCTCACCCCCTCCCACCTAAATTCCCGGCTACGTAGACTACCTTAGGCCTTGGGGAAGGGGCGAGACTAGTGAGCAAGGCCGATGCCAGGCTTCCTTTTATCCTCGCGTCTGAGAGTTCTTTTTCTTGGGTGTGAACCGTCATTGCCAGGCAGCGATCTCGAGCTCCTTTCCCCCAGCGACTGCGCCTGGCACTCTCGTGCCAACACTGGCCCAGTCCTATCCGTCACGGGCCAGGTGCTCGTCCCTTGCTTTGGCGTTTCGTTTCGCTCAGTGAAAACTTGGCCAATGACAGGCCCGTGCAGGCTTGGTCTTGGAGGCCCGGTGAAGGGTTTCCAGCATCATGGAAAACCCTGAGACTTATAGTCACTTTTTTGATGAGGTGCCACTCGAGGAGCTTCCAAGAGCAACCGAGCATCTTGTCCTTGCCTCTGTCGGGCGGACAGATGGCGTTGGAGGCCAGCTTCCCATTTCTGACACTGTCGTCGCATGCCAGAAGTCCTTGCCTGCGGAGGATGGCTTTGCCTTTCCGTGGGGGCCCCGCCGCATTCGCAGCACCAGTGCACTCGGAGCCACCCCGGCAAGGGCTCTGCACAGGCTGGGAGTCCGCAATAATTCGCTTTTGCGTGTGAGCATCCTTTGATCAGTGATTAAAGATTGGAAGTTTTTATCAGCTGACAGGGCTCTATGCTCCTGGTGCTGTCGCGATCTCCGAGGGCTTGGCTGCTTCGAGAAATGGTGCCCAACCTTGGCGCCTTAGCCTGCAGCAGCAGATCAAGTCTGCATGAATTTATCACACTTCGCAAGAAAACAGTTCAATTTGGCGTACCAACATGCAGTCAATGCCACCGAGCCTGCAAAGAAAGAATTCCGGTTGTGCTATGTTTGAGGCTTCAGCCTCGAGCAACAGGCAGGAGTGCCTCGCCAGCGTTCAGAGGGCTTCAAGCAGGGCCCAGATTTGTTAGCGATTCCCTTGGAAAGCGGGTTTTGGTCAAAGATGTCGTCTGCTGAGGCCATCGTGCGAGAGCTCTATTGGCCGGAGGTGGGGCGACGCCGGCAGTGGTCCTTGTTTCAGCGCCTTCGCTTGTCATCACGATGGCCATTCGCAGACGGGATTTCCAAGTGCCAGAAGTCATTAGTCCCATTGGGCCACAGCCGGCTGAACGAAGATACCCCAAATGCCAACGATAGCAAGGCACCACCACAGTTAGTCGAAAAGCTTGTCGTGCACCACGACAACACGGTGGAGGATCTTCAGATTGGCTGCACTGGGGTTGGGGAGAGTCTGTCAGGTTGGCGTGGCCATCCAGCGAACCACATCGACAGATGGCGGACAAGCTGTGAGCTGGTTAGAAGTCTTCAGGAGCGACCGCGGGCGGAGTTTGAACTGCGGCCGGTGCATTGCTCATGGTGTGCCTGTTTACCAGGGCGGATCCCGACGGGCTTTGTGACAGAGCCTTGCTTGCAACCTTACTAGTCAGACCGCGACTGGAACCAAGAGAAGGCTGTTGTGCGTGCTGTTGGCTACGTTGGTGGAGAAGCTTCAGAATCTCGAGCTGCTTAACTTCGTCAGGCAGCCCCACATTGTTGTTCCTGCATGTTTGCATGGCGCTCTAAGCTGATGTTGGAGGCAGGTGTTTTCTTGCCAGATGTTTGTTTGGAGTTGGGGTTTTGGCAGCCAGCTCTCGCAGCGACAACCAACTGTTGAAGTCGGCACCTTGCAGGGAACCCCATATAATGTAGAGCGCCGACAGGCCCCACGCCAGAACACGGATAATGCACAAGATCCGTTCCCCGGCACCACAGCGGAGAGTGTCGGCCCCTGAACTCTCAGGCGATGAAGACGAAGAAAAGGACCTTCGACTGGCATTGCTGTGCTTGAATACGAGCAACTCGTGTCGCTATCAGTCCATAAGGGAATCGTCCTGTTGGAAGCTGCCGCGGGTGAGGAAAAGCCACCTTTGCTCACTACATTGAGGATTTCCGGCATGATTTTCCCATTCATAGCAGCGGCGAGCTTCATGTCGACAAATATGAAGAAGCTTGAAGCCTTGAAGAACCTGGTGCACTCCTCACTCAAAAACCTGGTGCACTGCTCACTCCAAAACCAGATGAACCCCTGAGCTGTTCCAGGAGTCGACTGAGACGCAGAGCAGCTTTGCAGCGCCTCCCGTCGCATCGCACTCAGATTGCTCCATGCTGTCGGGTTCGGCATCCCTTCCAGGGCTTTGGGGTTTTGGGCTGACGGGTTTTCGAGTGCTTAAAAGTATATTCAATAAAATGTATTGTTTCTTACTTTTGTACCCCGTCATTCCCCGATCTCCCCATCGTGGTTTTCAGACGGGTACGTAATCTGTTCCTGATGCAGAGCAATTTTCTTACAATTTTGACTTGTCAAGGTCGTGCCTGGTCTATCATCTCCGCTGCAGAAGCGTTCTCAAGGACGCATGAGCTGGAGCAGCCATTGCAATGTGATAAATCCAGCCGCCTTCTCGCAGTAGGAGCAGCTGCAAATCCTTGTACTAAATTGCCCGTGTCGTCAAATATTCGCAAAGTTTAGGAGCCACCGGGTTTTAGAAATCAGGCTCATATATGGGAGCAGTGGCAGGATCATCTGCCAGCACGTTGAGCCCTGGGCTGCGCCCTGAGTTCTGGGCAGCATCCAGAAACGTGCCAGGGCCCCCTTTTGGGATCACAGGACTCGCGAAGAGCTTCGGTATTCACTGTGAGGGACCCGCAGTCTCACCGGCCGATGAGTATTTAGACAGCTTGTGACTCAGCCAAGACTTCGAAGTATGATGATTTCCCTCGCACGTCAGAGTGCTAGAAGTTGTCGTTGCAACACAACGCCGACGAAGACTGTCAACACCACTGCCCAAGCGACCCTCGGATTCGCCAGCGCAACGATCGCCTCGAATTCGCCAGGCTGTCGAGCGCTTCGCTGCCCAACAAGGTTCTCATTTGCGGATTTTGCTTTGCATTGTGCTGACGTTGGCAGAGACACAGCCCACACACCACATGCAGTCTCTCCTTTCTCCTTCTTTCGATCCAGTCATCATGTTCCGTCTCATGTAATTGTTGATTCGTGTGGGCTTTGTGGACCGTCTCTGGCATCTCTGACCAGAAGTAAGCTTGCCCATTTTGAAGAGATTCGTCTGCTCGGTGTCTCCAAGCAAAGCACTGTTTTTCACGAGTCCATGTCCGCCCGCAATGCCGCCAATTTGTGTCAGTGTGTGGACACACTGTCAAGAGTGGCATGTTCAGCATGGAGTGTCACGGCAGGGGAAAACTGAAGAGATTCACCCTTGTCGCGAAGTTAGGGAACGAGCAGAGAGTCACTGCTCCCAGAAGACTGGCCATGTGCCAAGATCAAAGTGCCAGGTGACTGCGAAGTACCCGACAGTGCATCAGGCCGAACTTCCCGAACCATCGCACTAAGCAACTGGGAGTTCTGGACTTCGCGTGGAATGGTCACAACAGTAGGCTCCTGCACGAAACGATGCTTCAGGCGCCGGGCCGCCTGGGTGTTTCCACTCGAAGTTCCTCCACATCGGTCTTCCTGCCAAGTTGTATCGCAAGACGCTGTTTTTGTCAGTTTGCCAAAACTCTCAGCTCCAGCCAAATGGGGCTTCCTACAGTACAGTGTACGACAGATTGACTGAGATCTGCAGCATTCTGCACCTCTTACGCAACTCTCTTATCAACGAAAGTTTGTGGCCACGCCGCAGCCCTTGTTTCAAAGACAATCGAAGACCATAAATTCGAAAAAGTACCCCCACCTCACATTAAGGTTGCAAGCCCAGGGTCTTCAAATCTTCGTTTCAGTGTAACTTAAGTGTAGGGTAAAGCGGTGCGCGCCAGAAGCGTAAAGCCATGCGGATGGCAGTGACTGGATGAGTCGTGGGAGTAGACAGTGGAAAAAGCTCCTTACCTGAGGGCAGAACACTGCAAGACAACAGTTGAACACTCAGATTGACCCGAGGGAGTTTGAAGTGAGGACCATGTGGATGAGACGCCTTATTACTTGTTTGACTCATGCTACACTATGCAAGAATCGCCACAGCAGCAGCAGTCGTGATAGCACGATATTGCATCATCATCATCATCATCATAACCACTCGAACAGTTGACCTGCCACGCTGGGTTGAGTGCTCGCCAGGCTGCCTCTGATGAGGCTTGCGAGGCTTCGCTCGCCCCACCTCGAGGTGAGAATTCAGATCATCCCGCGCGTACGCAAGCCTTTCTGTTTCATGACTGGATTGTTCTTCATGATTCATCGTACGAAACGTGCAGCAAATGCCAATACAGTGCCAGCATCGCGCCACATACCCTCAAAGCCTAAAGTGTTCATTGAGCTGGGATCTGCGAACAAGCGATGCCTCAACTAGTTTCTTTTGTAGTGACTGCACAGGCATCCCAAGAGAAGAGCTGTTTGCAGTTCACTTGGTGTTTGTCGGTGGAGTTCCAAGTGTTATTACAGTACTGCACCCTTCAACAGTGAACTGCCGTTTTCTTGACCCGATATTTGGTATAAGTATTGTTAGCGCAGCCTCATCCACATCAGCTCTCGAGGCATGTTCTGAGTATGAGTAGCACTGAGCTTCAACATTTGCGGCAGCTCGTTGGTCCTGCCACACCATGGTGTCTTTGAGAGTCGAGAGGCCGCGACTTTGGTCCGCCAAGAGCAGCCAGACAGGAGGCTTCACAGTTGGACGTGTGCTGGATCGGATGTTCTAAACCTCGACTTACAAGTAGCTGCCGATTGGTTTTTGCCGGTGCTACGCTATGCAAAACTGTGACTGAACCAGGCGAACCGCAGTGCACCGGGCGACAGTCAGAGGCAGGTTCGGTGTCGCAAAGTGACGAACAGACAAGTCCTTGCCGGCCCTGGTGAAGGCTGGCCAAGGCCCTGGCAGACCAGCAAAAGTACGCAGCAGAGGCTATTGCAGCAGGGACGCTTAGAACATGCAGGGGGAAGGCCATGTCTGCACAGCATGCTCACACAATATTGATCCCGTGTGACTGCCACACATCTCTGGCAAGGCCAGGCGATGCCTTGAGCAAGCTCGCGATGAGAACGAGGTGGGCAGTGGACTAGTAAGTTTCTCCATGCTTTCGAGTCGAAGTCGAACTCGCTTGGGGGGGGGGGGCAGGTCGGGCGGGAAATTCCCGCATGCAGCCTTTCATCTCCTCACTGGCCAAAGCAGCTTCTTCTCACTAGCCTGAAAGCGGAGAAGCCACGATGCGTTTGCTTCGCTTCGCTTTTGCTGCCAATCGCGACGGCAGACCCGGGCGCTGAAGCCGTGCATTTCGGATCCAAAGCGGACTGGTAGCTCTGAGAAATCCGCCCCTTTTCCTCTTTGGACTTGCAGGCCTGGCGACGCAGCTGTCGGCGAACGACGGAGGTCATCGAACTAATCGCAACACGGAATATCCGTTGGCAGTGCAAGAAAGGTTGGACATGTTGAGCAGCTGCATAGTTAGTTTTGTCCGTGCGGATCTGTTGGCACCACATCTCGACGACAGTCGGGATGCATTTCTTGCAGACTTTCTGTCAAGGCCCTGGCTGCGGCCAATTCGCGAAGCAGCGAAGCAGAGGACTCCCGATGCTCACATTTGCTGCGGCACATTGGCGTTGTGCAGCAGCAGCAGCAGCAACAACAACAACAACAGCAGCCGTTGAGGTGGCGGCGGTGGTTAGACTGCGGCGGGAGGAGGAAGAGGAAGCAACACAACAAGGAGGAGCACGAGCAGCAGTAGCAGCACTAGACTGGCCTGGCAAGAGAGGGTGAGGTTGGTCGTTTCACAAGGTGTGCTTACAGCATGGCGGCCGCACGGCTGACCCCTGGCCCCACAGAAGGGAGAAGAAAGAGAGATCGCCTAACGTAGCAGTCGATGATGTTCTTGCTAGCCGGATGCTAGCGGCTGCTAGCGGCATTCATTGCCATCGTAATTCCAAGCCTAGACGTTGCAAGATGTCCATTGCGGTCCACTATGTCTTTCATCCTGAATTGTCTTTGAAAACCTTCAAAAGCCTGAGGCCCTAGCCCTAAACCCTAGAATCCTGAAGTGCAGGATGTAAGTGATAGAAGAATTGTGGCTGTCCGATGGCTGCTGTCCCCTGCAGGAACGGGGCCGCCAGGAGGCCGACCCCCTCCCTTCAGCCTACACCACGTGCCTTGGGGGAGGGGGGCATTCATTTGTTAGACTTACTAGTTCCTCGTAGTGAGGGTCCTAATGCTTGACATGTCGATTACCATGCCGGTGAAACGCCGAACGAAAATTCGGAGCGTAGGATTTGTTCATTTAGGCCGTGGGGAGCAATGCCGCTATCCCGTAAATCAAAGGACATGCACCAGAGCTGCACCCTCACTCTCTCTTCACTGTCACCTTCGAGCCGTGGGTCATGTCAGTGGGAGACATGAACTTTACTTTACACAAAACATGAGACCTTGCATGCAGTCATGCAGTCAGTGTATGGTTCTTGAAAGCCTCAATGGACTCACTGCTGTGAACTGAGGACAAACCTCGCCGCTTCTCGCGCTTCGTTTGCCCAGCAGGAAGCAGACGCGCAACCCTTCAAGTGGCAAGCAACTTCTTGTCCTCCGCTTTGGCATTTTTTCGGGGGCGGCCTTATGCAACTCTCATGCAGCAACTCAAACCGTTACAGTAGGTCTGTGAAGAGACATAGTCGTTCCAGCCTCGGCGGCATCAAACAATTGGGGTTGCGCCCCTGCCTTCTGAAGCTCCATGGTTTGCCATGGGCGGCTCCCAATCAGGCCGGCCTTGCTTGGGGCCGTTAGCCCTTGAGCACAAAAACACAAAATGGGGCTGCTTCCATGCTGGAACCTGTCTAGATCAGGTTCCCCGAACATAAACTCTTCAGTTGCAGAAATCATAGCCTGTTCCCCTGTCAGGCGCTCGGTGCTGGCATTGCAGTGACGTCGGGTGCGCTGTGCCATTTGCACTGGAGCTTTTTCTTCACTCCAGCAGCTTTCACTCGACCCGAGCCGACAGCCTGTAGCAGGTCCCAACCCTCGAACCCAATGCGAATGAACGGGGTTCAAGCCAGGGGTCTAGCCACCCACGACACCGTCGGCGAGGATCCCGTTGCAGTCTCCTGAGATGGGTCTAAGTTTGACGGCATGGGGCAGACAATACTAGAGTCTTGACAGACGGCTTGCTCGCATCAGTTTGGGAGGGCCAGGAAGCTAATTTCTCGCCTTTGTTTTGCGCTTGTGCTGCAGAATGTCCCTGCGCCCAGAAACGGGAGAGCGAGCCGAGCGCACACCATGCCGGCAGCTCCAGCGGCGGCACGCCGCTGAAGGTGGGGTTTGACTCAACTGTGGTTGCTTGTTGTGCTCATGCATTGCTGAAATGTGTTGCTGCAGTGCGAAGTGTGAGCAGGAGTGCTTGTGACTGTGAACTGTGGTGCTGTTGGTGCTGCTGCTTTGGTGGCTGTCATTCTTATTGTTTGTTGTTGTCTTTTGTATTTATTTTTGGTTTTCGCCTGAATGGCTTCAAGCCCCGAGTCAGTCAGCCAGTCAGTCGTCCGTCGATCCGCGAGCCCGCCGGGCAGTCAGTCAGTCAGAGTGACCGATCGACAGCTGAAGACCAGTAGGCCGAAAAGACCTCTAATACAGCCTCAGTTGTCAGCATCCTTGTGGCTCTTGCAAGTTTTGTATATATTATAAGGATCGAACCGAAAACCAAAAAAATACCCAGAAAAGAAACATAGAAAATACCAGAGAAAACCTGGACCCCTGCTGCTGGTAGCAGTAGGAACTGGGAGGAAGTAGCAGCAGTAGCGGTACCCGTCCGCGTCGTCGTCGTGGCCATGGTCGTGGTCGTGGTAGTGGTGGTGGTGGTGGTTGTAGTAGTGGTAGTAGAAGGAGGAGCAGCAGGAGGCGCAACTGCCAATCCACCAGATCCCTGACAAGCACAAAACAAAAAGCAGCGCCGCCAGACTTTTTACACCGTCAACGAGACTCTTGACTCCGAGGCCGTTCGCAAGGGTTCAACAGTGCTCGCTTCAGGCCAAAGACCATGGGCCCGAAAGAAGTGCACAGAACCTTTACCTGGCAGAGGCCGGCACTGCGCGAAGCTGTGTGTGCGGCACTTGGTTTTGCAGAGCTCGAACTGACAGGTTTCCTGTGGCGTAGCATGTGTGGTGTGCTGGGGTTTTTCGACGTATAGATACAGGAGCCTGTGGTATCTCCGGTTGATGACAGCAACAGCCCAGGGGTGCCATGCTGCGATGCGCATCTATTCATCACAGCACGCTCCAAAACAGACATTTTCTATCATTGCAGCGATGACAAAAGTTCCGCGCGCCCTGGCAGCTTCGAATCGGGATGAGTTGAGCGGGCACCCCCAGACTGGCACGCTTGGCAAAGGTCCTCCAGGGCAGCACTATGCAGCTCAAATTACAGGGGCAGATCGAGGAGGTCAGGGACCGATTACACATGACGGCCCTACCATGGATCAGCGCATCGGCATGGTTTGTCAGTTCGAATGAAATAGAAGCCGTGAGGATATTCCAGGCAAAAATAATGTTCAGGGTATGCCAAACAAGACGTACTCCGGCAACCTGTGCAGGCCGGCTTCCGAGGATACAAGAGGCGGCGCGTGACTGTGGCTTCTGCCTGAGATGACATGATATATGGAACTGATCGCCCCCCTAAGCCAGGAGACGCTTATTTATCCGAGTCGGATGGAAGCGACGGCGAGTACAATGATTCCCTCTCGCCGGTGCACACTTTGCATTCAACAAGTTCTGCTGCATCGGCAGCTCGCTTGCATCAATATCAATCACGTTTGCTAAACTCTAAGCTTCAAGCCTTGAATAAACCATCTCAAAGCTCAAGCCCGTCAAGGATGCGAGCACTCGGTCATCGGCCAGACATTCCCATCGTCGGCTGAAGTTGGTCGAGACAATGGGCCCCTCGGAACATGAGCAAGATTTGTTTGAGCCCAGTAGCCGCCAAACAACACTTCGGACCCAATTAGGATAAGGATGCTGCTGACGAAGCCGCTCCTCAGGTCATATTCCTTCGGCGGCGCTGCAGCTGCTTGCCTGAAATCCTATCCAAGCAAGGACCTGTAGCATACTCTGAGCAGCTGCTTCGCTGCTTCATGCAACTTGCATTGGTAAGTGATGACCCATGGCGAAGACTGCGAGAAAGGTGTTGCGGCCGAAGCCTGCGTCCTAAAGAGAATTCATGGCACGTCAGAGATGCCGCCGAGGCTCGTAATCAACAATTCGAGCCGCTTGGATGCCTGTCCAGATGCAGCGACAGCAGTGCATGCTTTGATGCGTTTGATTCGGAAATGATACAGCGCAGAGCCGCAGCACCACGAAGGATGTGATGCGGCCAGACCGAACACAAGATGTTTTGTCCAGTGTCCGCTAGCAGGAAGAACCAAATAATGTTTTTTCATCGAACGGTGATTTGATATCCCTGCAGTATCACTGTAAAGCAAAGTGGCGCGTAGTCAGATTCTCCCACGTGTGCTCATCAGTGAGTGTTGTTGAGAACATGTTCACAGCTGCAAGGTCCTCTGGAAGACATCTACAAGATTGCATCTTGCTGCAAATGGTTCAACCGGTCTTTGTCAAAGCGCGGGGTGGCTGTAGATCGGAAATTCCTCGAATGTTCTTTCTTACGAAGACCCCACTAGAGCAAGTGCCCCAAAAGAGAGGCTCCTAAGCCTTCACTTGAGGACAAGGACCTCGGCAAGGGAGCCTTCGGCATTGTCAGACTCGGTCGGGTGCGAATCACAGGCATGGCATGTCAGGGGTTCACCGATGTCTCGACAGTGTAGCGTGGTTCAGCAGCTACCGGAATCCTGGAACTTCGTACCTTCGACCCAAGGACAGCTTCAGCCCCCAGCATTCAGCATTTCCAATGAAAGTGTAGTATGCGTTCGACTTCAGCGGCGAACGCCCGCGCTTGATTAGCTACCTGCAGGTGCCAAGAGGGCAATCAAAACTATAAGCAAAGAGCAAATGCATCTTGGCTTGAAGAGTCTTGTGCCACTGCCATGCAAGCCGGCTGAATCAATGCTGTGTTGCATTTGTCAGGAAGGAGCAAACAGGCTCGCTCAAAATGGAAATTGAGATCATGAAGATGCTTGACCATCCAGGCAGGACTCGGCTGATGCTGCTGCTGGGGGTGGTGGGGGTGGGGTTGTGGTGCCGTTGTTTGTAGAAGATGATGATGATGATGATGATCGTGACAGTAGTGAGTTGTGCTGGCAACAGAACGATGATACAGATATCAAGACGACAGACTAATCTCACTCCACCTGAAATCGCAAACCCCAAGCTTCAGAGCTTCAAGATCGCATCAAACCTGTCAAGCAGTTGTTTCAACCGTCCTGCTCTGCCACTGCAATTGCCACACCGGCATGCAACTCCTCATTATCCTTCGGGCATCGCGACAAGCAAACTCGATCCTGCCCGGCCCGTCTCCACGTCCACCCCAACATCTTCGTCCTGGCCTTTGCGCTTGCACACAACTTGCATCAATCGACCTCGAGTCGATGCAAGATGAACTTCCACAAGAAATGGTTGAGTCAGTTACTAGGTACGTGACCTCCTGTACAGTATCAGGCACGCGCTAGTTTTCCGCTCTTGTTTCAATGATCTCCGGTGGTAGTGACCCGCAGCACCGAATTAAGCATATTATGTTTGTCGTGTAACACACGTGTGTGTGTGTAGGTACAAGCGTAGGCGGTCGGGCCGTGCAGCTGCATCGGCTCGACCGTTTTGAGTTCCCCCACTCGCCTTTCGCCTCCCAGTGCTATCATGTCCTCGTCTGGAGCCGCCGCTCCCGCCGAGTTCATCGACGAGGTCGTCGCCAATCTGGTGGGGCCTCCTACTTCGACGACGGCGGCTTCGGCACCTTCACTGGAGGCTTCGCCCGCGCCGGGCGAGATTGGAGAGAGCGCCGGGCAGCCCACATCGGGCCAGCCGGCAGGGGAGCGAGCCAGCGGCCGGTGATGAAGACGTCGCTCCGCCCGTCATGGGCTTTCCTCCCTCGAGCGACGACGATCGAGGAGCTCCTGGCCGACATCGCCGGCGCACCGAAGCCCCCGGCGGCGAACCTCTTCCACGGCATCCACGTCATCGACGCCGGGGTCCACACGGAGCACGCCGTGCTGATGCCCGCCTTTGACGTCTCCGACATTGCCGTGCAAACCGACGGGGCGGTTTTCTTCTCGTCCGTCGTCGGCGACACTTCTCAGGAGGCACTGGCGGCCGCCATCCGCGCATTGTCGCCAGAAAAGATCGTGCACGCCTCGACGGGGCACATCAGCTGGCATTGGCCCAGCCCTTGGTGGACGTAGCCCCAACGTCAGGCGGCGATTCGGTGGCCCCGGCGCCACCTCCTTGGATCTCTCGCCATGGGTGCCGCCGCCTCCACGCGCCCTCGGCCACCGCAGCAGGCGCCCACGCCGGACCAAACCAAAGGGCCCCCAATGCCGTACCCAGACCGGACGATCGCCTTTCTGGGTGACGCCCCGGTCAAGCCTCCCGTCAAGGCGAGGGTGTCGAAGTCGACAAAAGCCTGGGCGGCGTGCTGTGCGGCCATGTCGGCGAAGGCGAAAAAGCTTGAGCGGGCAGGGGGGGGGGGCTAAGGGGCAAGCTCAGACGCGGCACAGATGCAAGTGACTGGACGAACCCTCCTTTCGATCGCCCGGTGAACGAGAGGTCCAGCGCAAGGTCCAGGGAGCCCGGGTCGCCGCGAGGCGACCAACAAGGCACCCTCTCATAGCCCTCGGCGATGATGCGAGCCATGGCGCGGCGAGCTGTGTCTGCGGGGAGGTAGGGCGGCAAGAGAGGCCTAGAACCGACGAGGACCAAGACAATTGTCTAGGAGAACACAGCGACCAACGGGAACTTCGAGTGCCAAGGGAGGGGGGAAGGCGAAGCACCGGCAACCCCGACCCCTTTCAAGGCGAGCCTCCAGTCACGAGTTAGAAGTCGACCCTCCTGAGTCGGAGGTAGAAGACGCTCTGTGAGACGAAGGCGTGGACCTGGAGGCCCGAGACGAAGAACCCGAAGAGCTCTCAAGGGCCGTCTTGTAAAGCGGCGACCATGTCACCGACGCGGGCGGCTCGATCTCCAACCAGACCGCGACGATGAACACGTCCACGGAGTGGGCGGCCCGGCGGCGGGGGTCAAAGGCCGCCCTGTCGGCGAAGTCCACCAGGAGCGCGAGGGAGGCGAGCGAGAGCCCTGGACCCTGTCTCGGCCCAAGCCTGCTCAGCACTGGGCCGTTGGCTGGCCGGCCCTGGGCTCGAGCCGGCCGTCCTAGCCTTTCGCCGGGAGTTTTTGCGCACACGCGCCTCTGTCATCCAGGAGCTGCAGACCATGGTCGACGACACAGAAGATGAGACGACCGCCTGGCTCGAGTCGTTGCCTCAGCACGTCCGGGCCACTTACACCACCAGCGACAGGCCCAGACCCTTCCAGGGCTCCGCTCACTCGGCTATCCGACGCCTTGAAAGAGGATACGTGGCGCGCCTGGTCGGAAGGCTGGGACCCTGACCTGCAGAACACCTACCGCCAGTAAACGGTGCGTTGCCCAGGGCACTGTGGCACATTCCTCCCCTCCGCGACAGGGTTGACCCTTGTAGTTCCACCTCGCCAAGTGCTTTGGCGCCGCGGCTGGCGTCTGGAACTTCAACAAGCGGCCGACGCCGTTCAAATGTTGCTCCGGTCGCTCCTCCTCGTCCTGCTCGGGCACTTCGTGGACGACTTCAACAGGATGAGAAGGACCTCGCCGACTCCGCCCACCACGCCGTGGCCGACCAAGCCCTCGAAGGCCCAAGCACCCGCCAAGCAGCACGTGGTGCAGGGGGTCGACCTGGCCGTCAGGCCGGAACAGGGAGCTTGCCCCCACCCAGAAGCAGAGGACCAGAATCCTGGACCAGATCGATGCAGCCCATCAAGCCGCTTCAATCTTGGGACGGCCGACACCGCCGCGCACTCGCACGACTCCCTCTCGGTGGGTGTCAGGTCGGCCCTCATGGCGCTGCGTCGCCTGGTGGATCAGGCACGCCCCCGCCTCGTGCCCTGGCCCGGGCGGGTCGTCGGCCCGTTCCCGGTCCTCTACGCCGGCGCTTTCTTCCTGGATGGCGACCTTCGAAAAGGCCCGGGCAGAACGGCTGGGGGTTCGTTCTGCTCATGGACGGCCACGTCTTCTACGACTACGGCGTCATCTGACCGGAGCACTTGGCCCCCTTCGCTGCCAGGAAGGCCTTTATCTACGTGCTCGAGATTGTCGCCCAGGTCCTACCCTTGGTCACCTTCGCCAGGCGCCTCAGCCCGTGCTGGGTTGCTTTCGTCGACAACGCGGCAGAGCAGTTCGCCCTTGTGAAAGGATACGGGAAGGACCCGGCGGTCAACGGCATCCGCGGCCGACAGGCTGTGGGTGCCGGGTCCCTTCGGCATCTAATGTCTCCGACGCCGTTTCCAGGGGGGACGACTCACGCGCCAGGGCTGAAGGGTGGACCAGGGTGGCCACCCCAGTCGATGACATCATGGAGGTCCTCGCCCGGGCAGCCGCCGACATCGACTTCGCCTGCCACGGGGCGCCTGAACGCCTTCTTGATCCAGCTGTGTGTGGTAGGTGCCGACGCCGTGTGGGGTGTGGGTGCGCCGGACGGGCGC